CACTCTAGTCTGTTCCTTCTTCACGTGGCCGTCTTCTGTCTGTGGGCATAAATCTCCTTTCTCTTAAAAAAGACGCCAAAACCCAAAGAACGAAGCCACTGCTGGAGTCACCCAAACTCCTAGCAACCATTCAGGACAGAGCAGAACTGCCCATGAGGTTGGCTTTGACAGTGAACTTGATTAAGCTAGTGTGACTGCTCTTAAATATTCACATCTGCAAGAATCCTATTTCCTAGAAGGCACATTCACAGGTATCATGTGTGAGAATCAGACATCTCTTTCGGGGGGGTGGGGGGCAGGACATGATGTAACCCACACCACCAGCTGTGTAACCATGTGTGAGTCTCATGCCTTCTCTGCCCGCAACTGATAAACCTCGACAAAGGCCAGTGATACTACCTCACGATATTAAGAGTTGTGGCTTCAGAGACAGGCCACGTTAGAGTTCCGTACGCACTGGGAACCAACAGACTTGAGAGTTCAGATTGGGCCCCCCTTGGCCTCTGATCCTCCCCTGGAGCATTGTTGTTAAGTGCCGTGGAGTTGTTTCCGACTCATAGTGAGCCTGCACAAGGTGTCCGAGGCTGTCAATCTTTAAGGGAACAGAGCACCTCATCTTTGTCTGTAAACTTTCAGTGAGGAACTGAGACACCCTGGGGATGCTACTGGTTTCAGAAAGGGAAATTGAGGCAGGAGGTGGGGTCCTGTGTCTGGCTCCAGGACACTTGGGTCCCACTCCTGCTGGCCTTGCACTGTGCCCTGTGACCAACCCCAGGGGCATCTGCCGCTACCACTTCCCCAGCTGAAATCTCACCCTTCCAGCTGCCTCTTTCCCTCTGTGGAATAATCACTCCCAAAAAGATCTTGTTGCAAAAGACTTCGTAAAAGTGTTAAAAAAGCAGAGATGTCTCTTTGGGGACTAAAGTGCATCTGACCTAGGCCATGGTATTTTCAGTCGCCTTCTGTGCATGCAAAGGCTGGACAATGAATCAGGAAGACTGTGACATAAATTATCGTGTTGGTAAAGAATATTGAATAGACCGTGAACTGTCAGAAGAATGAAAAATGATCTTGAAAACAGTACAGCCAGAATATTCATTGGAAGCAAAGATGGTGAGACTTTGTCTTTGTCTCACGTACTTTGGACACATCATCAGGAGAGACCAGTCTTGTAAAAGGGCATTCTGCTTGACAGAGGGTCAGTCAGGAAGTGGAATACCTCAACAAGACGGGTTAACAAAATGTCTGCACCACTGGGCCTAAACTGAACAGTTGTAAGGATGGGACAGGACCAGGCAGTGTTTCATTCTGTAGCACCTACGGTCACTGTGAGTTCCAAGGGCTTCAATTGCATTTATCAACAGGGACAACAAAGAGACCCAAGTCCTGATCCCTGGCACTTGTATATGCCAAAAGGGACTTTGTAGATGTGATGAAGTTATGGATCTTGAGAAGGGGAGATTTCCCTGGATCATCCAGGTGGGCCTTCAATGTCATCACGGGTCCTCACAAGGACAATGTGGTGATGGCAGGTTTCAGTAGAGGAGGCAGTGAGGTGGTGTTGGAAGCAGGCATTGGAGTGGTACACTTTGAAGCTGGAGGAAGAGACTAAGAGCCAATGAATGCAGGCAGCCGCCTGTGGAAGGTAAGCTGGCAAAGAAGCATTCTCTCCCAGAACCTCCAGGAGGTTCACAGCTCTGCCAACACCTTGATTTTCATCTAGCGAGGCCCATGACAGCCTTCAGTCCTGCAGAGCTTTGACATGCAAGAGTTGTGTGTGAAGTCACTGTGTTCCTAGGAAACATGCTCTCCCTGATGAGATGCCTAGGTCTCCATCTACAGCACTGTGCGTTAGGGAAGGCAGTCTTCAGTTCTGGCCATTCTAGAAGCTTCCCTAGACCTTATGGCCTGAAACTTACAGATGGGTGGATGTCGCGTTTAGCGAGGCTCTTACAGGGTGGATGTCTGGGGGCTGGCGTGGGGAAACCTAGATCCACTTCCTGTGAAGGTGCTACTCAGTATGACAAGGTGGGGACATCTTGACCTGTTGAGTTCAGGTTCAGTGGGGCCACACTGACACCAAAGTGACCAAGGGACTGAGACACATGGCTGGGTCCCTGAGAGATCATGGAACCCCCAATCCAGCATTACCTCAGGCTACACCTGCCACCACCTCCATTGTTTCCTGTCCAGATCCGTGGCCACTGGCTCAGGAGTGTGTGGTCAGGAGCGCCTATGGCTGCCCACCACTTGCCTCTGTGTTCAGTCCCCTGGTGGCTTCAGTAGTAACAATGGCTACACCGTGTGACAAGTGTGGTGGGGGGACCTCAGGTAGTCAGGAGGGGATGGTCAAGGAAAGCTGCTCTGAGGAGGAGGAGGGGGTAGGGAGGGATGGGGGCCTGCTGAGTGGCAACCCCAGAGGCAGCAGAGATCGCCAGTGCTGTGCTGGGTCAGGCTGCAGGACAGACAGCGGGACAGACAGTCACACTCCTACAACTCACACACACAGACGTGTATCCAAGATGAGAGGCTTCAAACTTCCTGAACAAACGGAAATGAGCAGATTTCCTGTGAGCTTTTTGAAGTCACCTCATTGTATATAAAGAACTCAGAGTTCACCTATTTAAAAAATTGTTTTTTAAAGATGGTAAAGGATCTGTGTAGACATTTCTTCAAGAAGCTATACAAATGTCCAAAAAGCACATGAAAAAATGCCAAATGGCAGTCATTCATCGTTCAGTGCTGTGGAGTTGGTTCCAACTCATAGCGACGACCCTACGTAGGGTTTCTGCGGAGCAGCTGATGAGTTTGGATTGACGTTATGGTTCAAATCGACTTTGTGGTAGACTGCTAATCCTACAGTGCCACACCAGGACTCCAGTGATTATTAATCAGGGAAACGAATCAAAACCGCAGTGAGGGAACACTTCACATGTACTTGGATGGCAAATACCAAAGACAGTAATTTACCGCTGATTCCTCAGCCATCTCTGCTCTACAGGCAAGCAGGGCCGAGAGGGGCCGACTGCAAGCAGCAGAGCTCCTCCGAGTTCCTACACCTGGTCACTCAGGAAGGAAACCTGTATCTGCCACGGTCACAGCCTCTCTCCAGACTCCCCACCGTTCACTGTCTCCACTTTAGCAAGGCTCCGTGGCCGGCCGGTGGAGAGTCCCCATGGGAGTGTGACCCTTAGGACAACTGGCACCTCAAAGGTCTGATGACTGTCACATCGTTTCCGGTCCCCCTGGGACACCATGCCGCGTCTCTCCTAAAGCCAGTCACAGCAGACCACATGTTGTATAGTCCTGTTTCTATGCGTATGAATTGCAGGCGTGTCTTCTTGGACTGCACTTTACTTTGTTAACGTCACAGATGATGCCGTTTGGACAAATTGAAGGTTTCTGGCACTCCCGCATCAAGCAAGCGCATCACCGCCATATTCTCGACAGCTTGTGCTCACCTCATGTCTCTGTCACAGTTTGGTAATTTTCACAATAGTTCACACTTTTTCATAATGCTAATGCACACTTACAGTTATAGTGTAAACATAACTTCTGTGTGCACTGGGAACAAAAAAATCGTCATTCGCTTTATTGTGGTCTGGAACTGAACCCACAATCTATCCGAGGCATGACTTTTAGATTGGGGGATTATTTTGGATTATCCAGTGGTTCGAGTGTAATCAAAAATGTTCTTGTAAAAGAGGTGAGAGAGTCAGAGAAGGCTGTGACTATGGAAAGAGACGGCAGAGCAAGTGTGATGATGAACCAAGAGATGTGGGCAGTGTCCAGGGACTGGAAAAGACGAGGGACAGATTCTCCCCACGAGCCTTCAAAAGCAGCAACAGCCTTGCCATCACCATGACTTTAGGTCAGAAATGCAAAATAACAGGTTGTAAGTGGTTTTCAGCCTTTACATTTGATGTGATTAGTTACATTGGCAATAAGAAACTAATAGACTCTAGACACAAACCAGACACAGACCCCAACTTCACCCAGGCATCAAAACAAGAATGAGCGTTCACAAGAGTGGTAATCCAGAAACATGGCAAATATGGGGCTCTTCACTGGTGGATGGATGGACAGGCAGCTTCTGCTTGGAGACAGGGGGTGTCAGATGAAATACAGAAGGTGTTGGTGATGTGAGGTTGGGCTGAGTAGTGGACTTGGCTGGAGAATCGGGAATTGCCAGAAATAATGCCAGCAACAGCAGAGAGGAGGCAAGTTGGCAATTCCAGTTATAAGACCTAGGGAGTACCTTGTGCACAGAAGGGACTCAGTGAAAATGTGGTTTCTTGGGAACAATTATTGGAGGTGAACCCTCAGCAACAGAAAGTTACTGTGGGGCCCTGCCTTCCTCAACGGAAGTGTGATGGGGTAAAACTTCAAGGAAGGCAAAATAAGGAAAGGGGGCTGGCTGCCCACAGAGCAGAGCTGAGTTAGCGTGTGGGGAAAGGTAATGCGATGAAGCTCAGCAAGGGAACGCTACGGGTTCCTGGGATTATGACACCAGTTGTGTGTCCACCAGTGGACAGGAGACGCAAAGGGGCCATTGGCACAAAGTGTCCAGAACAGACAGGTCCCTAGAGACAGAAAGTAGGTTCACGGTTGCCAGGGCTGGGGGGGCGGGAAGGGAGGGTCGGGAGTGACTGCTAATGGGATGAGGTTTCTTACACTGATGAAAATGTCCTGGAACTCCAGAGGCAGCAGGAGACTCACAAAAGACACAGGATGTTTGCACAACTCTGAATACCCTAAAAACCAATGAATTGCGCTTTCAAGAGGTAAACTTTACAGGAAGTCACTAATATATCAATAAGAGCATTCAACATTAAAAAAAGAGGGGAAAAAAACAAAACGTGGAGAGGGGGCTAGGGAAAGGGATGTGCTCTGAGCAAACGGGAGGGAATGTGGAGAGTCTGTGAGGTGGAAACAGGATGGGGAGGTACCTCCAGCCTCAGGAAGTGGGCTCTGAGGCATCACTAGTGTGCAGTCAGAGGCTAGTCCCTGGTGTGGAGTTTCTGATGCTGGAGGAGGTAGGAGCTGTATCGGAAGGCCTTGCCGCACTTGCCGCAGGCATACGGCTTCTCGCCCGTGTGGATCCGTTGGTGCTGGGTGAGGTGTGAGCGCTGGATGAAGGCCTTGCCGCATTCCAGGCAGGCATAGGGCTTCTCGCCCGTGTGGATCCGCTGGTGCTCCACAAGGTACGCGCTCACACTAAAGGCCTTCCCACACTCCGGGCACTCGTAGGGTTTCTCCCCTGTGTGACTCCGTTGGTGCTGGCTGAGCTGCGAGCTCTGCATGAAGGCCTTGCCACACTGGCCGCACACGTAGGGCCTCTCCCCACTGTGCGTCCGCTGGTGCGTGACGAGTGCTGTCTTCCACATGAAGGTGCGCCCACACTCTGCACACGAGTAGGGCCGCTCGCCCGTGTGGATCCGCTGGTGCTGGCTGAGGTCCGAGCTCCCCTTGAAGGCCTTGCCGCAGTCTAAACATTCGTAGGGCTTCTCCCCTGTGTGGATTTTATGGTGCTCAATGAGGGTGGAGCTCTGCCCAAAGGCCTTGCCACACTCAATGCACTGGTATGGCTTTTCGCCACTGTGCGTCCTCTGGTGACGTATCAGGGGTGAACTCCACCGGAAGGTTTTCCCACACTCCTGACATTGGTAGGGTTTCTCGCCCGTGTGAATTCGCTGGTGTTTCCGCAGGTCCGAGCTCCCCCGGAAGGCCTTGCCACACTCCTTGCACTTGTATGGCTTCTCGCCACTGTGGGTCCTCTGGTGCAGTGTGAAGGTGGAGTTTTGAATGAAGACCTTCCCACATTCATCACATTCATAGGGCTTCTCGCCAGTGTGGATCCTCTGGTGCTCGATGAGGTTGGACCGGCACCGGAAGACTTTCCCACACGCACTGCATGGGTAGGGCTTCTCCCCGGTGTGAGTCCTCTCGTGCACAATGAGGGCCGAACGCTGCTTGAAGCCTTTCCCACAAATGCTGCACAAGCAGAGTTTCCCCCTTAAACAGGCTGACTGCAGACCCTGGGCAAAGCTTCCTCCGTGCGTGACTAACACAGGGTCTTTCTCTTCTACCATCACACTTTCTTGTTTGATGGGATTAGAAGGCATCCTGATAGTTTTTGCAATTTCAAAGCCCCCAAAGCCTCGTTCCCCACTAGGAGTTTCCATGTTGGGGACTGACCGTGGTTTAAAATCTTCTTCCTGGGAAAATGATTGTCCCTCTGCACCTTCAGCAGGATTTCTCCTCTGGTTCCTCGAGTGGACCTTGGGTATGTGGATGTCTGTGTGGGCAGAGCCCAGGAAGACCTCTTCTTTGCTGACCTCCATTACTATCTCCGTGACTGATTATAGGCCTTTGGATTGTCCCTGCCTTAATCCCAAAGCAACCAAGACCACAAATATTGACTTTGTTGACTTTTTCACACTAAAAGAAAAAAAAAAAAAAAGAATTGTTGAGGTAGATGAAACTGTTTGCGTATTTTATCCCTCCTTGACCATATTTTGTGGTTCCTCTTATGAAAGGAAGGAATTCTGAAGATGCACCAGTTAAGCGCTCTGTTTGACAGTTAACCAAAAGACTGGCAGTTCAAACTCACCTAGGGGATTCATGAGAGAAAGCTCTGACAATCTTTCTGTGAAGATTACAGCCTAGAGAACCCTGTGGGGCAGTTCTACTCTGTCATATGGGGTGACTAGGAGTTGAAATTGACTCAACAGCAGTCCAACCAGCAAAGTGGATGGCCCACCCTTTCCTCGATTTAGGGTTTGGTGATTTGCTCTGGCCAGTGGAGTCTGGAAAGGAGTGACAGTGTGCTGGTCCCAAACCGAGGTCTAAGGCTTCTGGTATCTCTGCCCTCACTGTGAGAATGATTCACCCATGTTTTCTTCAAATGCAAGACACGGACCCAAGCCCAGCCCAAATCAGGCAGCCTTCAGCCAACTCAGACACATTAGAGGAATAAGTGATTATCCCTGTAAGCTACTGAGAGGTTGTAGCTATTCATTAAATAGCAATAGCTGACTAATACAATTGCAAAATTAATAGGAATACTTCGGGGAAAAGATGAGGTTTGCAATGTGGGAGGAAAGATAAAAAAGACAGAAGCAGAATGGACCAGTGGAGAGTTCTCTGGAAAATCAAAGGCCCAGAGCAGCAGCTGAATAATCAAAGAGCGAAATGAGGGTAGTCAGGGCATTCAGGATTTCCAAGGTGAGGGGTTTGGACCGGGCAGATCATAGTTGGTGCTCAGACCAAGGGACACTGTCTATCTGCCACTCATTCACCCATTCATTCTTCAGCAAACTCTTCTCAGCTGGGTCCTAAGGACACCCTGACCTCAGGCAATGGTAAGGCTTCTGTCTTCCCGTCCTAACCTCAGACTCCATTTCCAAGAAGTCACTGAAGTGAGCCGTCAGTTTTGAAAGTTGCTCCACACCTGTCAATATTGGCAACACCCATGAGACAAGGGTTTCCTTCTCACTCTTCCTGACATCTGATTCGCTCTCAACTGCTTCCCTAACTCTCAGGTGAGCATCCCAAAAGAGGACTAGAACCTCAATGTCCTCACACCCACTCCATGATCAGAATCTTTCCTCAGGCTCCCAGGCTAGCCCTCACGCTCCTGAGGAATGCTGCAGTTCCCCAGGGCTCAGTGCCCAGCTCTGCACCCTCTTTCCTGGGTATATCTTGGGTACAGGGCTCAAAACCCAGCTCTGTTATCTTCCCACTGTAGGATCTTAGGCAAGCTACTTAAGTTTCCGTATTGTCTCCTTTGTAAAATGGAACGGTGAAAATACCACTTCATAAATGCCGCAAGAGTTCAATGAGTTTCTATGTGCCAAGCTCGTAGTGGAGTTTGGTACAAAGGAAATGCCCAAGAAAGGTTAGCTGTTTCTTATTTCTGTCTCCTTAGAAACCCTCATATACATATTCCAACTACCCAACAGTGACAAACTAACCTCTCATGCAAAACCTTGTCTCCGAGATCCATGGCCCACCAGCCAGGAGCCTGCAGCCCATTCCCCAGATGTGGGTCCCAGGAGCACTCAGACACACAACAGAACTGCCTATCAGCACGTGATCTGTGGAAAAGGTTAGACAAGTTGTGGTTGGCTCCCAATTTCTTCATCTGGTTCTTCCAATCTGCCCCTGACCACTGTCTCATTCTTATCAGCCAAAACCCTGGGGCTGCACAACCTTTAGCTTTCTTGTTCCTCTCCCTTCTTCTACATTCACCATAACCACCGTGGGTTACTCTTCATTTTCCCCTGCTCTCACCAGGCCCACTGCTGTGGCCCCATCTGTCAGGATTCCCCAAGAACATTGCTTTCTTGCTGCTCCTCAAACACACCACCAAGCTTGTTTCCACCCCAAGGCCACTGGATTCACCATTTCATTTGCTGAGCCCAATTCTATCATGTGAAAGGACCTAGGCCAACGTGAAACAGAGACCCCCAAACCAACCACAGGCTCAAACACACGAAAGTTATCAATCAGGTTCTCTGTGAAATAGAGCAGGGTCCATATATTCACGACTCTGTGAATATATTAAAAACCACTGAAGTATACATGTTAAATGGGTGAAATGTAGAGTCTGTAAATTATATCTCGAAAGCTTTTTAAGACTAATAAATGCAAAAATAATATTTAAAATACATGTAAACAAATATTACAATAAGTGATCAATGTAAATGTTGTTGTTAAGAGTTGTCAAGTCAGTTCTGACTCATAGCAACCTTGTGTAGGGTTTCCGAGGAGTATCTGGTGGGTTTGAACCACCAACCTTGTAGTTACCAGTCCGGCGCTTATCCTACAGCATCACATCAAGAATCCAAATAAATTTTGGAAATAAATAATAAATAGGTCAGTAAATAATAATAAAATAGTCAGTCAGTCTTGTATTCTTCAGGCACACCCACCCAACTGGTTCCCCAGGTCACACACGTCGTCGTCATACGCAGGAGCTGGCACCCAAGTTCCGTCACACCTGCACTCACACCAGCTCACTGACCCGTGCACCCTAAACTCCTCACCCCAACGCCCCACTCTGGCTCCCCCGACGCCTCACACCAGCACCCTCACACCCACGCACCATGCAGCCTACAAGCACCCCGCCCCGCCGGGGCCTCCGCTCACCGCCAGCACCATCCCACAAAGGCTGGTCCCGCACGCCCGCGGGGACTACGATTCCCGGCGTGCCTCGGGCGACCGGAGGCCAGGGGCGGATGGCGCGGAGCATACCGGGAATTGTAGTCCAAGTAATGAGGCGCGAGGGCGTTTCCCTTCACACCCGGAAGCGTCCACTCCCGGAAGTGCCCGCCGCTGTGCCTGGAAGGTGGATTAGCAGCGGAGCAGCGGTTCGGATCCGGACAGTTGCGGGGAACCACTGGCAGGCGGGCGAGAGGACGAACGGGTGAGAGGTCCACCACGGCTGCGAGACCACTCACGCCAGCGGCAGGGCAAGCGGGCGTCGGTGTGAGAAAGACCGGCGACACGCCCAAGGGCTGACCGCCGGCCGCGTGACCGTTTTAAGGATTGAGTACGGGAAAGACTGATGGATTGGGAGTGTGTTGTCCATGGATTAAGTGTGGGACAGACGGACCGAGGCGGAGAGTTTTGGACCGATGGACGAACTGTGTCTGGCACATTTTGGGGGTGTGTTTCTGACAGGCTGAGTGTGTGATTTTACAGGTGGGCTGTGTGGTTTTGAATGAGAGGGTGGGCATGTGACTGAGATTCTGCGTCAGACTGAGAACGAGGGGACTGAGTGAGGGAACCGCGCACTGACGGTGTGCTCTGAACGCCTGCGTCGCTCTGACACACAGACAGACAGATCCCTTTGGGAGACGAGTGTGTCTGCAGCCATCCACTCTGATCAGGAGACATGTTTGGTGCTTTAAAGTTTGTATTGTGAACTGAGTGATAGTTTACATGGGAGAACACCGGCTTTACACCATCGTTTTCATTGTAATGATTACAGTCCCGCACCATGCATCCTCACTCAACTGTATTTGCTTCTGTACCCTCTTTTGGGGGGAGGAGGGGAGCGGGGGAAGGAATGTACACAAAAACACTCCGCAATTTGTAATCATTTAAATAACCTAAGGGCACATTCTACAAGCCTGCTTCCTGACCGCCAACACCCAGTCCCTCTCTTTCCATGAATCTAGAGTCTTCAGCTGCTCCCTCTCTCCATGTCCTCCTCTCTGTCTCCATCTCTGGTGTCGCTGCTTCTCTGGATAGGATCCCACATTCCGCTTGTGCTCTTTCCCTTGATGGTCCTAGGGTCCTCTGTTTCTGGACTATAAGATTAACTCTTACAGTCCAGAAACAGAGTAAACTGTAAAATTGTTAATGTTAAGTGCCATCGAGTCGGTTCCGACCCATAGCGACCCTGTATAGGGTTTCCGAGAAGCGGCTGGTGAGCTTGAACTGCCAACCTTGCAGTTCAAACGGCTTTGCAGTCCAGTTCATTAATGCACAGCGCCACACCAGGACTCCAAACTCAAAGATTACTCTCCCATTTTTGTTACAAAACGTCTATCTTTACAGTTGTGACAGTTGCAATTAGTCATGATAACTCATTATTGAATCATAAAAATCTTATTCCCATCTCCTTTCACCAGACCCATCTAGACAAGATAAAAACTATTCAGTGGGGACTCTGTCGTCCCCCCACCCCGCACACTCTGAAACTAACTCCCTCTTGAAACCTTGTAAGCCATTTACTTCATGCCTTTATCACCCCCTCATTTTAGGTAGCCAGTGTTTAGTTGCAGGAGACATGTTTAAACATGTTTTGTTTGGCATAAACCCTGCATGTATGTACTGGAATCCTAGCAGCAATACATTTTGACTTACCCTTCTCTTGTTTGGGAAGAGAGTGCGGGGACATCAATGAGCAGGAGACAGTTTGGTGTACAACTGACAGTCTCAGTGCCTAGACTGTGTGTGTGACTGTGTGGTTGCCTGAGGTTTTGTATGGACAACTAAAAGTTGAGTGAGCCGTGGCGTGTTTACTGAGTGTGTAACAGAGGGGTTATGCTTTGCTGTCTACAGCTGAAATTGTGTGACTGAGAGTCATCTGTCTGGGTGTACAGCTACATCCCCCCAGAACCCTCTGTGGACTGGAGTCTGTCAGGAGAACCAGGGAACCATCAGGAGTGACTATTTAGGGCACGTTTGCTCTGCACCAAGTCCATGCTGGATGCTTATCATGGGTCACCTCAGCTAACCTCATGCCATTCCTCTGAGGTACGTACTGTTTTCAGCAAATGTATAAAGGACTCAGAAATGAAAGATCCACCCTGCTGTGTTGGCTTTAGCAGCCAGGCCTGGGGGTCTCCACATTTTGTCAGGGAGTAGGCTGGTTAATGCACTGTACTGCAAGGTCTGTTTGAACCACAAAGTCGCCAGTTCAACTCACCAGTCGCTTCATGGAAACCCTGTATAGGGTCGCTATGGGTCGGAACCGACTTGACAGCAGTTAACAACAAGGCTGAAGAGGTTTGGACAGATTCACAGGCAAGATCACATAGCGGTCTCTTAGAGATGGCCTTCAGGAATTTCCAGAACAGGGTCCCCAGAGTGAGAAAGGGGGAGAAAGCAAATGTAGAAGCTGTCACTATGTTTATTGTCCCTGTTCCCTCTTCCCATATAACATATAAAAATAAGTCCAAAAGTACTGCTATTAGGGTTCCAGTACATATATGCATGGGTTTATTACAAACAAAACATGTTTAAACATGTCTGTTGGTCAAAGTGGATGTCTACAGACAAGTTCTCAAGTAATACATTTGTCTTAATTTCATTAGGGTACCTTCAAAAGAAAAAGTCCGAATAGTGGCTTCCAAAAGAATTTGCTGGGCCAGTAAAATTCAAGATGGAGAGGAGCTCAGAATGTTATGATGGCTCATTTTTGGGGTTCCAAAGGAGTTATTTACATAAATTTTCTCAAAGGACACAGCGTGTTTACAGGAACTTTTTAGGAAGAAGTTTTAAGAAACTTGGAAAGGGTATTGGTGATAAAAAGTTTTTTCCATCATGACAGTGCACCTGCTCATTCTTCAAGCTATGGTAGTATGGACTGTCCAGAGAGAGTTTTGTTGGGAAAATTCACCCCACCCACCCTATAGTCTTGTTACCCCTTCAGACTTTTTTTTTTGATCACCAAATTCAACATTGAAAAGGAATACAATTTGAGTCCTCCTAGGATACCAAAAGGGCTATTCTGATGTGGTGTAAATCTAAAAGTCTTCAGGAATGCCTAGGGAGACGGAAACAATGCCTTCAGAAGTGTATAAACCTAGATGGAGGATGTTTTGAAAAACAATAGCTTCACCTTTTTCATTTTTGTGTAATACAGTTTTCTCTGATTTTATAGCAGTATTTTTTTTACTTGTCTTTGTATATGTCATTGTTGTTGTTGTTGTTAGGTTCCGTTGAGTTGGTTCCAACTCTTTAGTGACCCTCATGCAAAACAGAAGGAAACACTGTCCTTACTGCGTCGTCTTCACAAGTGTTGTTACACCTGAGCCCATGGCCGTTGCCACTGGGCCAGTCCATCTCGTCACACGTCTTTCTCTTTTTTGCTGACCTCCCACTGTACCAAGCATAATGTCCTTCTCTGGGAATTGGTCCCTTCTAATAATATGTTTGAAGTATGGAGCATTCTGGCTGTACTTCTTCCAACACAGATCTGTAGGTTCTTTTGGCAGCCCATGGCAAAAGAACCGACAGTATTCTCCTCTAACACCATAAATTAAAAGCATCAATTCTTCTATGGTCTTCCTTATTCACAACTTTTGCATGCACATAAGGTTACTAAAAATACCATGGCTTGGGTCAGGTGCACCTTAGTCCTCAAAGTGATAACTTTGCTCTTCGACACTTTAAAAATGTCTCATGCAGGAGATTTGCCTAATGCAATATGTCATTTGATTTCTTGACTGTTGTTTACATGAGCATTGGGTGTAGGTTCAAGCAAAATGAAGCCTTTGACAACTTCAGTCTTTCCTCCATGTATCATGGTGTTGTTTACTGGTCCAGTGGTGAGCATTTTTGTTTTCTTTACACTGAGTTACAATTCATGCTGAAGGCAGTGGTCTTTGGTCTTCTCTTTGGTCTTATACTAGTATATGATTCCATTCATTTCACACATCAGGTCAATCCATAGAGAAAGTAGAGAAACTGGATTAGGGGTCCGTAGGTGTGGGGCAGGTCCCCAGATTTGACATGGTGACAAAGCTTTGACCGTCCTGCAGCTCCAGTCCCCAGAACCCAGTCACTGTGCATCCCAGTGGAGTACTGCTGCCTGCTGATGGCTGTCCCCAGGAGCACTCTGAGCCTGACACCCTGGGAACAGGAGAGCTTCTTCCAAGTGAAAGTAGAAGATGATGAGGCAGACTTCTCCCAGAGCCCGGAATCTGGCCGTGGTGACCACACTGCGCACCTTGAGGCTGCACGTCTGCGCTTCCGGAAGTTTCGCTACCAGGAAGTGGCAGGACCCCACGAGGCCCTGGTCCGGCTGCGTCACCTCTGTCACCAGTGGCTGCGGCCCGAGGTGCGATCCAAGGAGCAGATGCTGGAGCTCCTGGTGCTGGAGCAGTTCCTGGGGGCACTGCCCCCCAAGATCCAGGCCTGGGTGGGGCCCCAGTGCCCTGAGAGTGGTGAAGAGGCGGCCAGACTCGTGGAGGATCTGACCCAGGTGCTCACCAAGAGAGGTGAGGTGCAACTTGGGGCAGATGTTTACGGCTGGCTCGGCAGAGCCTAGATGGAATGCGGAAATATAGGGTCTTTTTCAGGATCACCCACATATTCATTCTCATGTTTCTCCTTTCCTCCCTACACTCACAACTGTGCCAGTCAGGGCTGTTTTGAGTGTAAACTATCACAAAAAAACCCAACCGAACCGGCTTAAGCAAATAGGACAAAGAGATTTCAGCTATGGCTCTAGAAGCCTGCACGACTCTCCTCTCTCACTCTTTTCTCGTCAGTGGGTTTTCCTACAGCAGTATCATTCTGCTGCTGAAGTGACAGGAGAGGGGAGGGAGCATGGATGGTCCATGGACTGCAGGCTTATGGCCGAGCAGCCTGGAAACCACCAAGGGAAGAAGGTAAGAGATCCCAGGCTGAGTCCCACGGCCTGATCCCAGGATTAATAGTGAGCAAAGGGGAATTCTCCAAAGGAAAAACCAAGCTGTTGGTGCTAGTGGGCTGGATGCCAAGGGGAAGGGGGCCAGAAACACCAGCTATCCATCAAGGTTCCCATAAATGCCCTAACTCAGGGAGGTTGGGTGGGACAGGTGGAGGACCCCGGCCGTGGGGCCGTCCAGAGTGGGGAGTCCAGGCTCCTTCCAGAAGGGACCATGCTGAACCTGACAGGAGCAGGGAGTGAGGCCGACCCCCGGGGTGGGGGGGCAGTACCACCTCCTCCCAGCTGTGGGAACTCTCGTGCCTTGTGTTACCCATCAGTAAACAGGGAATATGCTCAAAACCCACCTCAGTACCTTTGAAGGATGTAATCAAGGTAATAGCTTGTGTGTTACTGAGAACCGTGGTCAGCACAGACTAATCACATGATAAATGTGGCTGTTACCACGATTTGGCTAGCTTTTTGAGAAACGGAACTCAACTGGTAGTGCCTGGCAGGGTCCCCCTGGGGCTTCTTGGGGACCACAGACAGGCCGCCGGGCTCACTCCCAGCTCTTCTCTCCTCAGTGCTGCTGCTCACTGACGACTCCGAGCTTCCTCCAGATGGGACCTTCAGTGGCAGGTGGGCAGACGCAGAGCTCCTGACGATCAAATACCAGGCGAAGGGACCTCCTCCCAGTCTGGAGCAGGCCAGCACAGGACTTGAGGTGCGATGTGGGCCCTTACCTGGGCGTCTCTGTCCCCCTAGCCCTTCCCCTCAAGCCAGCAGTCCCAACAGCTGAGGACCTTCCAGGCTGGCGGGGAGCTGGACTCGGATAAAGACAACTCGGCTTTCATAGGCCTTGGAGAGCCCAGCAGAATGGGGCGCATCAGGAAGTCTTCCCAGGGGGGATCATTCCTTGTGTGTCTGAGTCTCTCCTTTTTTTTTAAAGCAAAGAGATTCATTGAAAGTTCAAAACAGTCTGAACCAGGGTTTCTTCTGGTCTCACAAAGTGAAATCAAATGCTCCAAAATGGTGGCATATTTATGGGTAAAACCAGTAGCTGAAGATACAACATTCTGATTGGAAGTTGGAAAATCAGGCGAGCCAAAGGTGGGGCCACTTCAAGCAGAGGCTTTACATAATTACTTGGAAAGACAAATGTTTGCTCTTTTGTTTTTCTAAGACTCCACTCAGCAGGGATTAGGGTTAGGACCAACCTAACACAAACGTGGTGGTGGTGACTATGTACCGTGGAGTCGGTTCTGACCCATAGCGACCCTGTACAGGGTTTCCGAGGCTGAAAATCTTTACGGGAGCAGAAAGCCTCATCTTTCTCCCACAGAACAGCTGGAAGTTTCGAACTGCTGACCCTGAGGTTCGCAGTCCGGTTCGTAACCACTACGCTACCAGAGCTCCTTCGTTCCAACCCATAGTGACCCTATATAGGGTTTCTGAGGAGCAGCTGGTGAGTTGAGGTCACACTGACTGTGCAGCCCAGTGCACTAACCCACAGCACCACACCAGGGCTCCAAAACACAGGTGCAGCTTTATTGTGACCTTCCCGTCATTGCAGCGATCTGTAACCAACTCCGTTACCTGGAAGTCTGTCTGTATCAGTGCTTCCTTTACTGGTTCATTGTGGGCGTAGACCTCATTTGGTTCATCCATCCATCACTTGATGGCCATTTGGGGTGTTTCCACTTTGGGGCTTCCACAAACGATCACATTAGGTTTTCAGTCCTCTTGGGTAGACACATAGGAAGGGAATTGCTGAGTTAGGTGGTAACTCTAGAAGTCTGGGTGGCACACTGTTCTATAATCAGCTGCTAAACTAAAGGCTGGTGGTTCGAACCCACCCAGTGCCCTGACAAACAGCTTCTGGAAAAGTCACAGCAAAATAAACCCCTATGGCGAGGAGAGCTCTTGGCATTGCCGTGAGTCAGGGAGGACTTGGTGGTCACTAACAACAACAATAGTAATTGTTTAACCCTTAAGAAACTTCCAGGCTGTTTTCCCACCCTCGACCATTTTGATTGCTGCTCTGTTTCTGCCTTGGGCATTAACTCTGCTTTGACAGTAACCTCTGGTGGAGCAGCCAACAGGCACTGTGAGGGGAAGAGTGGGTGCAAGGGTGAGAGGGAGTGTGGGGACTGGATGTTGGAGGAGGTGACAGGTCCGGGCACCGGTGAGTCAGTGAGAGGGAGTGTGGGGACTGGATGTTGGAGGAGGACAGGCCCGGGCACTGGTGACTCGGTGAGAGGGAGTATGGTGACTGGATGTTGGAGGAGGTGACAGGCGCGGGCAGCGGTGACTCGGTGAACGGTAGAATGCTAGGGACCAGGTGCCCATTTGTCATTGCATGGTTTGCCCAGTAAGGCCCACAAACTCATCAGAATGATGCCCTCATCTTCCCCAGCCAGCCCAGCAGCCTGATCCACAGTGACCAGTCTAGGGAGACGTCTTAGTTGGACGTCTCTAGACGTTAGATAGTAAAATCACAAGTGGGTAGCGTCAATGAACAGAAACTTATTTTCACACGATTGAGGCTGGAAGTCTGAATTCGGGGTGCAGGCTGTAAAAGAAGGCTTTCTCTGTCTGTCTGATCTTGGGGAAGGTCCCTGTTTCTTTTCAACTTCTGTAACTTGGCTCTTTGGTGACCTCCATGCCACGTGGTATCTACTCAAATCTCTGCTTGCTTCATCTGCTCTTTTATCTCTCAGGAGAGATTGGTTTAAGACCCATCCTACACTGATACTTTCTTCTTAGTGTACCAAAGACAACCCATTCAAAATGGGATTATACCACAGGTATTATGTTGTCAGAGTCCCGGTGCGGTGCTGTAGGCTAACGTTAACCACAAGGCTGGCAGTTGAAACCCACCAGCCACTCCTTGGAAACACTATAGGGTCACTATGAGTCGGAACCAGGCACGCTGTTGTTAGGTACCACTCACGGTGACTATACGTACGAAGGAATGCAACCCCGCCCGTCCTACACCATCCTCACCATCCTCACTACGTTGGAGCTTTCTGTGATAGTCCATCTCATGGAGGGCCTTCCTCTTTTTCACTGACATCACTTTACAAAGCATGATGTCCTTCTCTGAGGACTGTGCCCTCCTGATGACGTGTCCAACGTGTGTGACACAAAGTCTCACCATCCTAACTTCTAAGGTACATTCTCACTGGACTTCAGTACAGATGTTTTCTTCTTCTGGCAGTCCATGGTATAGTCAGTATTTTTCACCATGATTCAAATGCATCAATTCTTCCTTATTTATTGTCCACCTTTCCCATGCATATGAGGCTAGTGAAAACACCATGGCTGGGATCAGGCACAACTTGCTTCTCAAAGTGACATCTTGGCTTTTAACTTTGGCTTTTTTACTAGGAGGTATTACGCAGCAAATTTGACCAGTATAAAGTTGGCCATTTGATTTTTTGACAGCTGCTTCATTGGGTGTTGGTTGTAGATCCAAGTAAAAAGAAATCCTTGACAACTTCAATCTTTTTCCTGTTTATCATGATGTTATTTATTGAACCTGTTATGGGGATTTTTTTCTTTATGTGTAAGTACAATGCATATTGAAGGCTGTAGCCTTTGATCTTCATCAGTAGCTGCTTCAAGTCTTCGTGGCTTCAGCCCGCAAGACCGTGTCATCTACATATCGCAGGTTGTTAATGGGTCTTCCTTCTATTTGATACTACGTTGTTCGTCATATACCCAGCATCTCAGATCATTTGCTCACCATACAAATTCAGTAAGTGTGGTGAAAGGGTACAACCCTAACACACATCTGTCCTGATTTAAAGCCACGCAGTAGCCCCTTGTTATTAGGTATGGTCAGGTTGATTCTAACTCATAGCAAACCTACGCACAACAGAATGAAACACGGCCGGTCGTGTGTCTTCCTCACAGTTGCTACGTTTGAACCCATTGCTGCTGTGTTAATCCATCTGGTTGGAGGTTTTCCTCTTTTACGCTGACCCTCCACTTTACTAAGCATGATGTCCTTTTCCAGGGACTGGTCCCTCTTGATGACATGTCTGAAATTCTGAATTGTGTCCCTTTGTTCTGTTTGAAATACTTCCTGTTGGTCTATGTACCGTTTCTACATGGGCACAATTAACTTCTCATGGGTATCTAAAATGTGTATGATCCACACAGTCAGATGCCTTTCTATAGTCAACAAAACATAAACAAGCATTTTTCTGATATCCTCTGCTTTCAGCTGAAATCAGCAATGATATCCCTCATTCCACAGCTTCTTAATCCAACTTGAATTTCTGGCAGCTCCTGTTAATATACCATTTTTTGTCTTCAAGAAACTTGTGTAGGATATTAGTGGTACTATTAGAAACCAGTGCCATCGGTTTTGATCCTATGCTACCTCCTGAAATCCTTGAGCATCGCACAATACCTTTTGGTACAGTGACTGTGTATTCCTTCCACCTTCTTTTGATGTTTCCTGAATTGTTCAAGACTCATCAAATTTTTCACTGTTGCAACTTGAACATTCAATGTTTTCTTCAATTCCTTCTGCTTAAGTAATGTCAAGCATGTTCACCCCTTTTGGTTTTCTAACTCCAGGTCTTTACATATTTCGTTATGATACTTTGTCTTCTCAAGACTCCCTTTGAAATCTTCTGTTCAGCTCTCTTACTTCATTATTTCTTCCTTTCACCTTAGCTCTTCTACATTCAAAGGAGCTCTGGTAGCGTAGTGGTTACGAATCAGGCTGTGAACCGCAAGGTCAGCAGTTCGAAACTACCAGCTGTTCCACAGGAGAAAGATGAGGCTTTCTGCTCCCGTAAAGATTTACAGCCTCGGAAACCCTGTACAGGGTCGCTATGGGTCAGAACTGACTCCATGGCACATAACCATCACCACTATTCTACACTCGCGGAAGTTTCAGAGTCTCTTCTGACATCCATCTCGGTCTTTTCTTTCTTTCCTGTGTTTTAAATGAACGTTTGCTTTCTTCGTGCATGATGTCCTTGATGCCCTCCCACAACTTGCATGGACTTTGATTATTAGTGTTCAGTGCATCAGAACTGACCTTGAGATGGTTCCTACATTTAAGTAGAATATATTCAAGATTGTAGTTTGGCTTTCGTGACTTTATTTTCATTTTCCTCGGCTTCAACTTTGTTCTGACAGATGCTATGGAGCTTCCGCATATCTGTAGGGTAAGCGCTGGACTGTGAACCACAAGGTCAGCAGTTCAAACCCACCAGCTGCTTTGCAAGAGAAAATGAGACTTTCTGCTTTCACAAAGATTTACAGCCTCAGAAACCCTGTACAGGGTTGCTAAGAACTAACCTTACAACGGCACTTAACAACAATAACAATTATCTCTTCCTACAGATATAGTCCATTTTGATTTCTGAGTATTTTACAATGTATAGAGTTACCATTGATGTTTTTGAAAAAAGTGTTTACGATGAATAACTTGTTGGTCTTGCAAACTTCTGGCATCGTTTTTGTCACCAACGGCACCTTCTTCAGTTACCAGTTCTTCTTCTTTGTCCCTAACTTGTACCTTCTTTCTAATCACTAGTAGCTATCAATACATCCTGATTGCACGTTTGATCAATTTCAGAGTGCAGAAGTTGTAAAAGTCTCAATTTCTTCATCTTTGCCATTAGGATAGAGTATGTTGTTGTTATTAAGAGCTGTATAGTTGGGTCTGACTCTTAGTGACCCTGTATAGTGTTTCCAAGGAGCAGATGGTGGGTTTGAATCACCGACTTTGAGGTTAGCAGTCCAGAGCTTACCCTACAGCGCCGTACCAGGACCCCAATAGAGGATATGCTGTCGTGTCGTGTCATAAGGACCCTGTATAGGATTTCCAAGGAGCAGCTGTGGGTCTGAATATTAACCTTGTGGTTTGCAGCCCAGTGCTGACCCTATAGCACCACAAGAACCCAATATTGGGTACATTGTTCCTAAGTCCCGTCAAGTCAGTTCTGACTCATAGCGACCCTGTATAGGGCTTCCAAGGAGCAGCAGGTGAGTTTGAACTGTGGACCTTGTGGTTCAATAGGCTGACCCTATAGCGCCACACCAGGAGTTCAATATAGGGCCTAGGAGTTAGGATTTACGTACCTCATGCTTTGGCTCGCAGGGGCCAGCCTCCTTGAAACTGGACCACGAACAGACACACAACTTGAACCCTCGGCATGGAGCCTCAGTCCACAGCAGGGAGCTGGACAACCGTGGGACACTCCAGTTCCTCGGTAAGTTAAGTGTTCATTCTGGCTAGCTGTGTCCATCATCTTCCTGCAGGCTGTGTCCAGCTCCTCTTTAAGAGTTGGCCAACTGGCCGGTAGACCTTCCCATCGCCTGGGTTTTTTCCTTTTAGCCCTTGGAGATAGGCCAAGCTGTGCAGTTGAAGCTTCGCTGCTGCTCCCAAGAGACAGAGACGCGGGAGCACAGAGAGCCTTGTGTTCTCAGGCTGTTTTACTGTCCCTGAAGTGTCTCTCCCCACCTGGTAAAGGGACAGAAGTAGGTAGGGGAATGTGGTGCCTTAGCAGTCCTCACCGTAGTCCTGTGAGGGAAGAACCACTTCCACTTTGCAGATCGAGAAACAGGCTCAGGATGGAGATACAGCTCCCCGAGGCGCATCCCTCCAGCAGATGTGTGGCCTGTGCTCAGCCCCTGCCTGGGACAGGCAGCACCTCCCCTCTAGGTCCTGGGATGGGCTTGGCTCTCAGGTCCTGGGACTCTCCTCTGCTATTGAATGGGGAGAAGTGGCTAACAGGCTTTCCCAGGCTCAGATCATCCTCCTGTGCCTTTTATCTGCTTCCCTTCATACCTGGGGAGTGTTTCACCTCTACCTCCAGGCCTTAGAGGGCTCCGTGCGCCATCCCCAGTTGCTTGCTCATTGATTCACTCGTTCAGCAGATTCCACCAAGGGGTGCTTGTGGCCAGCCCAGGACTGGGGTCTGGAATCCAAAAATTAACAGGGCAGCAGTTGGTCCTGCCCTCAGAACCCCTCAGGATACCGGCCACAAGCTCCCTCACTTCTAACCTGCTGGTTATAAATTCAGGGGCTCCGTCTACCCTTTTAGGACATCAGCTATAAGGACAGAGGTTCCCTGTCTTCCTCACTTCTGACTTGGTGTCTCCCACCACTCCCTCTGGTTTGAGAATTCACTGTAAGAACTCACAGAACTTGGGGAAAGGGCTATATTTAATTATTACAGTTTTAGTATCATTATGAAGGATGCAAACAATGAAACACATGGAGCTACCGTGTCCAAAAAGGGCTGTGCTGTAGCAGAGCGATTACAAGTCTGGCAGCAGTTCGAAACTACCAGCTGCTCTGTGGGAGAAAGATGAGGCTTTCTGTTCCCATAAAGACTTACAGCCTCGGGAACCCTGTACAGGGTCGCTGTGAGTCAGAACCGACGCCACGGCACAGAACCACCACCATCCTCCAACGTGGATCTTTCACCAACCCGGAAACCCTTAAGCTTCTGTGTGGAGCCCTTAGAGGGGTCTCCTTACATAGTCAGGATTGATTGGATCGGCCAGTCATGATTGATTACCTCCCCTGAGGTAAACTGATATCAGACCCCATTGTGGTCCTCCTTAACTAACGGGTCATTTCATTAGCATAAACTCAGATGTAATCTGGAAGCCTATAGATACAACTAAAGCATCTCAGTCACTGGGAGGAATTACAGGGTTTTAGCGTTTGTCTCTCAAGAACCAAGGACAAAGACCAAATTCTCCAGGTAAAGTTGATGAAACTTCCACAGGGAAAGGGACCCAGCTAGAGGTTGTGGGTGGTGGCAGGGACAGGGTGCCAGAGCTGGGAGGAGAAGATTCCCGGTTGAAATTCCACTTGACCGCTGGCCGACTCTGGGACTTTACGTAAGTTCTCTTGTTTGGGCCTCAGTCTCTCCATCTGTGAAATGTCCCTGTCACAGTCCCTTCTTGTGAGGGCGGTTTTAAGGGTGAAATGAGGCCATTGAATTTACACAGTGCATCAGGGCCTGCCATGTGACAAGAGTCTGATACTAGCCTGCAGTCCTGTGAGGTGGACAGGTAGTACGTGCCTGAGGCCCCAGAGCCAAACAGCAACCAAGCTGCAGCTGGAATCGTTTCGGCGCTGTTGGACCCCCACTGTCGGCTCCGCTAGCGTTTGCTCCCCACTGCTCCCCACACTTGGCTTCTCTTCTCCTGGAATCTGTCCAGTAACGTTGCCAGATTAAGTGTCCTCGGAAGCCCTTTTACCCAACAAGGGCAGTCAGTAGAGGCACACCTCTATCTCATATACACTCTGACCTTCAACTACCCTGATGTGTGCTAGGCCTTTAAGACACGGTGAGCCTCAGGCCTCCTGGGGGCTGGAGACCATGGCTCCACCGTAGCCGTCCCCACTTACCCCTAGCAGCGGTGATGAACTTGGGCCTCCGGGTGAAGCACATGTCAGTCACTGGCACTGAGGATGGATTCTCTCATTTAACCAATATTCATTGAGCATGTCAGGCCCATGCTAGGCCCAGAATTCGGCTGAGGTCCAACTCACTTTCCCTTACTCTTTTGGATTATTTAAACTTCAGTGTTTTCCTTCTGACACTTCAGCCAAAATGAAGAGCCTTAAAGCATAGGGTTTGGGTACAGGAGACAGGGGAGAAAATGAGAACTTGGATCCCCTGACCCAATTTTGGATTGTGTGGTGGGTGGACGCCTCATAACGCCTTTATTATCGAAGACACTCATTGAGAAATGCCCTCTTGGAAACGGGGCCTGTGTGGTCAGAGCCTGGGTGGGGTGAGAAGCTTTGTGTGAGTGAAGCCAGTGACACTGTGGTCCGGGTTGTTTCAGGGTGGGAGCCGGGACCAGAGCCCGCAGAAGCAAGCTGCAAGCAGAGCAGTTGGGAAGAGTCACAGTCATCAGACACAGTCACCGAAACCTTCATGACGCTTACGTCTCCAGCACTTATTAGCAATGCTTGGGACCCTGAGGACGGCTCAGAGAGGTGGGCAGGACTCTCAGAGGAGACCTGGACCAAGTCTGTCACCCAACAGATGGAGTTCAGGACAACTTCAGGGTCTCACAAGGATGCCTCCACAGACCAGCCCAGGTGTGACTCTGGTACCTTGAGGCCCAGTCCCGCTATGTGTCCAAACTCTGCCTCCGGAGAAGAGGCTCCTTCAGAAGAGAAGTGTCCTCCATGCATATACTCAGGGCTCAAGTCCTCCAAGTGTGATGGCTGTGGGAAGATGTTCAGGAGCCCCTCAGCCCTCCAGGCTCACCAGAAGAGCCATTCTCGGAAGACACCCTACGCCTGCAGAGAGTGTGGGAAAGCTTTCAGCCGGAGCACTCACCTAGCCCAGCATCAAGTCGTCCACACAGGGGTGAAGCCCCATGAGTGTAAAGAGTGTGGAAAAGCTTTTAGCCGAGTCACCCACCTGACTCAGCATCAGAGGATTCATACTGGAGAAAAACCCTACAAATGTGAGGAATGCGGTAAGACCTTCAGCCGCAGCACCCACCTGACCCAGCACCAGCGGGTCCACACAGGGGAGCGGCCCTATGAGTGTGAGGAATGCAGGAAGGCCTTCAGCCAGAGCACCCATCTGACTCAGCATCAGAGGATCCACACTGGGGAAAAACCATACAAGTGTGATGTGTGTGAAAGAGCTTTCAGTGACTGTTCAGCTATGATCCGACACCTGAGGATCCATTCTGGAGAAAAGCCATACCAGTGTAAGGCTTGTCCAAAGGCCTTTGCCCAGAGCTCCTCCCTCATCGAGCACCAGAGGACTCACACAGGTGAGAAACCCTACAAGTGCAGTGATTGTGGGAAAGCCTTCAGCCGTAGCTCAGCCCTCATGGTTCACCTGAGGATTCACATCACAGTGCTGCAGTGATTGTGGGAAAGCCTTCAGCCGTAGCTCAGCCCTCCTCGGGGTTCCTCTAAGGATTCACATCACAGTGCTACGGTGACTGAAAATGCCTTCAAGGAACAGTGCAGCCTCCCCTTGGAGACTCAACATCTAAAAGAAACCCTGAATCCTAGAAAAAAAGAATGGGGTGATGAGTCCCACAAATTAATAAATGCAAAAGACTCTGAAACTATCCAGGAGCAATTCTGCATTTTGCAACTACAGTGGAGATTCTTAATGACCACCCAATGCTTCAGGTCAGCTGGAGAAGCTTCAAGCAGGATCCTGCCACCCTCCCTAACACTGAGGGTTGGCTCAGAGACCATAGCTGAACTGAAGAGTGAGATGAGTTTTCAAAGTCACAGAAGCAACTGGTGTGAAGTGTCTGCCAAGACTCGGATCCCAAGATGCTCTGGTCAGGAAGCTGCTCGTTCCCAGCTGGTTACTTTTCTTACATGTTCCTTCCTGTGTGCCCGACCACACCCACCTCTGTGCCTTTGAGCCAACTGTTTCCACCCCACCCTAATTCATATTTAACTCCAGGCTCCACTTGTGAGGTTCCCTCTCCCATGGGGCCTCCCTCAGACACTCAGTCTCCCTCCTGTTTCCCCGTCTTAATTGATGATGATGCCTTGGCACTTGGCCATTGTCATTTTCTCCCTGTGGACCTTACCTGAAGCTCACCTGGAATTCATCATCCTCACTACTGCCACCTCATCTAAACCCTCACCACCTCTCACCTGGATAACCTCAGGGCTCTCCTTCCTTCCTCACCTTTTCTGATGTCATTCTCTCCCAGTCTGTTCCAACCTCCACGTGACTCTTTCTACAACACAGATCTATGTCACTCCGTTACAGAAACTTCTGTACTGTGTCACCTGCTGCAACAAAACTCCCTGAATGGCTTCCAGGTATAATCTGAGCCTCGAGGAGATTTTCTGGTTCCCCTCATATGTGCTGTACAAATGCTGCCATATTTCTGAGTGTGAAAAGGATTTAAAAGTGTCCTACACGATGAACTGTAGATTCCTTCACCTGACATTCAAGGAAACTGATGACCTGGCCTCCGGTCAGCCTCGTCGTCTCCTAAGGCAGCACCGCCATGCAGGGAACAGCCTTGTGAAACTGCTTGTGGTCCCTGAAGAGGCCATGTTTTTCTCCCAACCTCTGTGCCTTCATATCTGTGCCTGGAAACCTGCTTCTCTCCTCATGGTAACCTGGCAACAGTTCTCATCCTCCAAGATGCTTCAGAATTCTTCCCCAGTGGAATCTCCCCTGAGTCCCCCAGCCAGGTTAGCAACCCCCTCTCTGATTTCAGGGCACCTTGCACTTACCTCTCTCACAACTCCTGCCATGATGCATTTGTTTACTCCTTTGGCGCTCACCCTCTGTGTTTCAGAGGAGACTGACTTCGCAAGAATGAGGGCCATGTCTAATGTTGGCACCCACAGCATACCAGCTATAATTGGCCCTGACCAGTGTCCGCGGATGAATGTGCAGCAGCTGGTCCTGACCCTGTGGCCATCACTGCATTCTGACCCCGTCACTCTTACATTTCTCTACCAGGCTATGGCCCTACAGGGCAAGAGCGACCTCTTACCTGGCATGTAGCAGCCTCAGTAAAATGTTACTGTATTGAGTGTGCCCACGCTAGGGTCACAGTGCCTCCTGGAATTGTGGGCTTGGTGAGGCCAACAATCTGTCTTTGTTCTCTCTTTGACTCCTCCCAATTTAGCATCCTTCCAGCTCTCTGGATTTTTCAACCTCTGTTTCTGTCAGGAGGTCGGTGTCCATGCCTGTTTTTCTGATGATCCCATCGCGTGTGAACCATGTGACCTGCCATGTTACCGTATCCTGGTCATTGCCTTTCTCTCCTTGGCTGGCACTCATTCTCTCTGTGCCGTGAGTAAACAGAGACAGGCTGAAAAGAGAGACAGCGAACAGGCAGTGAGATCTAGATGGACAGAGACCTTGGGTGGGTACATCTAAGAGCGTGGTGAGTTGGGATAGGAAATGGACTTAGAGAGGGCTGCAGCGCTCAGCAATTCGCTGACATCACCCAACGGTGAGATGCCAAGCTTTTATTTACTTACACAGTGGTTAGGACACAGAAGAATGGGATAAGGTTCCTCATGGGGCCAGCTTCCCAGGGTGAGTTGACACAGGAAATCTGTACACAGAAGGTTCCATATTTATGTTGGAGGTAAAAGACCATGAGACAAAGGGGTCTCTGGGTTTTATACCGCAGAATGCGTGGAATGGGGGACAGGGGTAAGAGGAAGCGACCTTTGTTCAGGTGCACCTGGCCTGACCATACTATTGCCAAGTTTTGTTCCAAGTCATACAGCATGAATACATGACCAGAAGGAACATGTCTCCCCCCTTAGCTACAAGATGATATACTTTAGGACCATTAAGTAGTCATAGAGACAGAGAATCTTCCTGTGAGTTCAGGACAAGAGGGAAGATACTCTGACAAGCAGAGGAGACCAAGAGACAGTGTTTGAGAAACCCAAGCCCCAGATTCCCTGAGAGGATGCTCTGAGCCAAAGGTCTCCACGTAGGCAGCCTTGATGGGCATTGTAAAGGCAGACCACCCTCCCAGCAGAGAGAGTCCATGAGATGCCCAGAAGAAGACAAAAACTGCCACACGCAATGCAGCAGAGACTGAGGGACAGACTCAAAGACGAGAGCTGTAGATTCCAGTGAGATGACTGCAGGAGTTTCTGCGGGCTGCAAGGGGTGAAAAGGGTTAAGGTGAAAATGAAGTCGCAGAGGCAGTTTCTGTCCCTGACCACCAGGGACCTCAGGTAAGTGACGTCCTCATCTCTGAGTTAGGAATACTGAGCCTCATCTTCTGTAGCACCTGACCTGGGGCTTGGCCCCATCTACTGGCTCGGACTCGCAGTATCCTGCCCCACAACTCTCCAGGCCTCATTCACTCAGTCTCTGCCACTGAGGAGTTGCAGCGTGGTCTCCGTGAAGTCTGAGCATCTCCACTCATTGTATCAGGAGATGTGTGTCTGCCCGTGTCTGTCTAATCAGGGGAGAGAGAGACATACATCAGTTGGCTAAATAATCATATGCATTTTCTCCTCTAACCCGCACACCGCACTCTGAGGTCAGCATGGCCATCCTGGTTTTCGTTTTGTTTTTAATGTTTTATTGTGAATTATATGATAGGTTATATGGGAGAACATTAGCTTTACGTTCATCCTATTTTATAGCGTTTCGTTGCCATGGTTACAATCCCATCCATGCATCATCAACCAACCAAAAGGTAATACACCCTGCAAGCCTGCCCCCGGTGGTCAGCACACAGCCCCTCTCCCTCTCTGGGTCTAGAGTCCCCAGCTGCTCCATCTCTCCATGTCATCTTCTCTGCCTCCATCTCTGGTATCACTGCTTCTCTGGGTAGGGTTCCCCGCTGTCTGCTCTTCTCCCTTGATGGTCCCAGGAACCTCCACCCCTAGACTGCAAAGTCACTTACTCCCCTCCTTTTGCTACAAAACGTCTACCTTTACATTTCCAACCCTCACAGTCAGTCCTGATAACAATTATTCACTATTGTATCACAAGAGACCTATCCCCAACTCCTTTCATCAGCCCTGCCTAGACAGATTGTATACTACTCAGTGGAGATTCTACCTTCCTCCATGCCTTCTGGATATAGGTTCCCTCTTGAAAGCTTGTAAGCTGGTCACTTCTTGCCTTTGTAGCGCCCCCCACTTTGGGTAGCCAATGTCCAAGTTGCCCATCCCTGTCTATGTATGGAGGGGGTGGGAATGATTCTTGCTGTAAAGATTTGCTCCCTCTTTTGAGCTACTGCATCCATAGGTGTAGGTCAAGTTCATCAAATTGTATCAGATTACTCTTTTTTTCCTCCTCTTCTAGTTGAGCTCTAAAGTGGGTATTATCTGCAAGTGTGGGTGTTCTTATACATATGCCCTTTCTTCTTATCAGCTGGACACTTCACTCTCCAATCTAGTCCTCTGTGGCTATGTCACTGACTCTGGGCCCAAGAGTCCCCAGGTCTTGCCACACTGCTGGCCAACCAGGTCTCCACCCAGGTTCACAGGAGTCTATTGAACGTTGTAGGGCTTAGCTCGCAGCTTCATTGCTGTTTTTCCCTCACTTCTCCTTATCGGAGACTAACTTGGTCACTAATCAGAGCATGTATTCCCATTGAGTCTTAGTCTTGGAAGGGGGTTTGCCCTGAGGGGACCTGACCACTTGGCTTGATGGCTCCTGGGTCATCCCTGTTTTATGGAGGAGATAAGTAGATATGGTAGTAACTGGTCAAGGTCAGCCAACCATGAATGGGGTTTGAAAAGCATCCAAAATATATCAGTAGTGTCAATAAACAAAACTGTATTCAACAGAGCAAGTAAAAGGCTACATTTCCTTTCAATCCAGCCATGTATTCTTTAGGACAGACACACCTAAAAGAAAGCTATAGGAAAGTTGAGGGGAAAGGTGATAAAGACACAAGGCAGGAATTCACGTAAAGAAAGATGATAGGGCTGTGTTCATTTCAGACAAAGTAGACTTCTAGCCCAAAAAGCCTTGTTGGGGGCACACAGCCAGTTCTGACGCATGACGATACCATGTGTTTGAGAGAAATTGCTGCGCAGGGTTTCCCATGGCTATTTTTGTTCAGAAGTCAATCGTCAAGCTTTTCTGAGACACCTCTGGGTGCATTCTGACCACAGCCCGTTCAGTGGATGAGTGCTTAGCCATCTGCATCACCAGGGTCACTGTATTTTGGTAAAAGGAACAATGCCTCAGGAAGGTTTAGCAGTTTGAAACTGGACACTTCTTGTTGTGTTGTAGAGTCAGTTCCGACCCATAGCGACCTGTTTAGGGTTTCCAAGGAGCAGCTGTTGAAACTGTGCAGTCCATCAGAACCGACCTTGTGGTTCAAACCAACCTTACGGTCCAGTACATCAACCCTCAGTGCTACACCAAGACTCCTGTTACACTGAGAGGCATACAGTCAATGAGATGAAACAAGCTACCAATGACTTGTTTAACTGTTGTCTGTTAAACTGATGATCTGCTCTGTAAACTTGCTCTCAATTCACAATAAAAAGTCGAGAAGAAGATCTACATAACTACTCAACAGAATCACTATATAATCAACCCCTGGAGACCAAAAGGGCAGCGTGGTGGTGGCGGTTATATGCCGTGGAGTTGGTTCCGACTCATAGCGACCCTGTATAGGGTTTCTGAGGCTGTAAACCGTTATGGAAGCAGAAAGCCTCATGTTTCTTCCTCAGAATGACTGGTAGTTTCGAACTGCTGACCTTGAGGTTAGCAGCCTGACTCATAACCACTACTAGTTATTTGGGCAGTATTTGCCGAGAAAACGCAGAAGGTGGGAAGGGACGGCAAAGAAGGACAAATGGAAATGGAGAAGCGGAGGAGGAAGTGGGAAGAATGCAGTTACATCAAGGGTCTGCACCTAATGTCACGAAAGAGAATGTGTATCAGTTGTTGAATGGAAAACTAATTTGCTCTGTAAAAGCTCACCCAAACTACAATAAAAAATAAAATAATTGAATCAGTAGTTTTAGGTGTGTAGTTTGTGCTTATGATTTTAGTGAAGGTTTACAAAGCAAATTAGGTTTTCATTCGATTCATACTTTGCTTCATATTAATTGGAATCCCCAAAATGTAACAGCACTCCTCCGTTTCTATTCCTCATCTTTCCTGCCGTCTGTACTTGGTCTCCTGCCAAGTGTCACCCTTTTGATCTCATACAGTTGATTGTTCTAAGGAGTGTTGCTGATCATCTGCTAGGTTTGTCTATTGTTCAGCAGAAAGTTAGCCAAGGAAGTGAGTTCAGTTCCAGGCTTGAAGGGTGACCAAGAACCACAGTCTACAGACTGTCTGACGAACCAGTAAACCTCATCTTGTTTTTATGATCTGAGTTTTGTTCCACAGTTTTTCCTCTTAAGAACCTCAATGTTATAGAGTGGTCAGCGGTGGTGATCACATCTCAGGGGCATAGAGCTGAGGTTCCAAAACTCCAGTAATCCTTTGGACTAATTGTTACCACGCATCTTTGATGATCATCAACCTTCTTTGCTCCAGATGGAGACCAACCAGTAATTGTATCTAAGATAGCCACTCTCAAGCTTTGAAGTCCCACTAACCAAAGTACAATATTACATTGTCTTTATGGACTCTTGTCATGCCAACTGACCTTGATGATATCCCTCAAAATGAACAGCTTTTCAATGAAACCACCAAATTCAAAGTAACAAACAGTGATGCCAGGGAAGGGATTCATGTGCAAATCTTTTAACAATTTTTTTTCTGTAAAATTAAACCTACTTTAAAAAAAATAGTCTTTTTTTTAAAAAAGGAATTTTAAAAATAGGATACAAAAAAAATACTTAATCCAAAAGAAGACACTACCCTAAGCCAGAGTCCAGGGAGAGGGATGAGTTCAGAGGAGAGCTGCAGTGTCGAACTTGGAATCCGGTCCACAGCGCCCCCGCGTGGCTGCTTAAGCAGACGGACAGGTCCGCACAACGCGCCGGCCTCTGAATTGCGTCCTGGTGCGCAGTGCCTTAGTGCTGGACTTCTAATGGAAGGTCGGTCCGTTTGACCCCTCCAGTGACTCCATAAAAACAACAATGATGTGACACTAGACTTCAGTGAAGATTTCAGCCTTGGGAAGCCATTCTGTTCTATAGGGTTACCACGAGGAATCAACCTGACGTCAGTGTTTGTGTTGGTTTTGTTGTAGTTATGAACAGATGCCCCCAAGAATGGTGGAGGTGTGTCTGGGGTTACCCACGCTCAAGGAAGGTCTACCCAGACCTGTTGTTAAGTTCCGTCGAGTCAGTTTCGACTCATAGCAACTCTGTATAGAGTTTCCAAGGCTTTAAATCTGTGAGGGAGCACAAAGCCTCATCTTTCCCACAGAGCAGCTGGTGAGCTCGAACTGTGGACTTTGTGGTTCACCAGCTTGGTGGGGAAAAAACAGACAACCCAGCCTGCCAACGCACAGGTCCCAGAGCCTAGCCCCAGGGCCCATCTGCCCACTTTCAGCCCCCACCCTAAAAGTCCCTCTGAAGGCTGTTGGACACCCATTGGCCAGAAACCTATTAAAACAAAGTCTCTCCACATTTATTAATTCCTGGGCAGAATGAGGGTTAGACAGCCGCACAGAGGGCTCCCAGCCTCCAGCTGCAGTCAGACCAGAGACGCTTTCCCAGGGGTCACTTTGGCAGCCCAGGTCTGCAGCAGGATCAATTTCCTTTTGATAAATCTGACAAAAGTGAAATTTGAGAGGTTGAACTCTGGACCACAATAACTTGGGGGCAGGATCTTATACCCACCTCGCCCCCTAACAGGCCTCTCATGAACAAGCCACTTCCTGCCCTGGGGCCTTTGCACTTGTCATCCCTCAGCCTGCAAATTCCTTCTTGCCCCCCCCCCCCCACACACACACACACACTGAGACACCAGACACACTGGCCAGGAGTGGATACTCCTGATAGAAGGCACAATGCGGTAAAGTCTGGCAACTTAGGAGCTTAGGAAGCCTTTACCTGGCACCCTTGAGCATCACTGTGCCCCTGGATGCCCCCCAGCCCCCAGGACCAAGGGAATTTTACCTGTCACCCGGAGCTCCACGGGGTCGCTAAGTTCTGACAGCAAGGACTTGGGCCTCCAGGTGTGGTAGCGGCAGCTGTAGTTACCAGCATGTTGGGGACTCACATTGATCAGCACAAGGTCCTGTCCATAGCTGGATACCACCACCTCACCATCCCGCACCAGCTCAAAACTGAAGTCGGACAGAGGACCCTTGCAGCGTAGGACAGCGTCCTGGCCTGAGGTCACTGCCCCCTGCCACAAGGGCTGGAGCTGAGGCTTGGGAGGGGGACCTAGACAGAGCAGCCAAGTCAGTAGGGTGAGGCCCTGGAATAGGACAGTGGCTACCCCAGATCTACCTCCGATTGCCTGCCTCCACCCCCCCACCCCCCCCACACCTCGATTAAAACCCTTCCACCCTCCAAGCTGCTGCCCTCCCTTCCTCCCCATCCTTGACCCTGAGCAGAGATGGCTCCGGCGGGTCCCCTATGCCCCTACTCCTGCTGCCCTCACTTCTGGTCAGCCTGTCCTGTAACCCTCTGCCTGGTGAATGACCCCGCCCCACCCAGGGGGTTGCAGTTCCCAAGTCCAAGTTTGCTCTTGATACTTCTTGGGGTCCCCAGCATCTGGCACTCAAGGCCTCCAACCCTTGAGGAAACGAAATCAAATGATGGAGGGAAACTATGTCCCAGCAAAGTGTCCAGTCCTGGTGTGGCGCTGTGGGCTAATGCGTCAGACTGCAAAGCCGTTTGAACTGCAAGGTCGGTGGTTCAAGCTCACCAGTCGCTCCTCGGAAACCCTATACAGGGTCGCTATGGGTCGGAACCGACTCGATGGCATTTAACAACAAAGACGGGGGCCCAACTGGCTCTACTGAGGGACATCGGGGCTGGCACTGCAGAAATTAAACATTAACTCTCCACCTACGGGATTCAGACACAGGTGGACCTGGAGGGTCAGAATCTAATTAGTGTGATGTTCACAACTTACATGTGTTTACCACAGGGAAAAGCAGGCTAGCAACAATGAAAAGAGAAAAAAACCCAAGTCCAGCCTCCGTGTTTTCAACCACGAGGTCACTACACACCGCCACCGTGGAAGATAAACGGAAAAGGTTGGCGTCCCCAGAATCCTGGGTTACCACCGCCAGTGCGTCCCGTTTGACACCGTCTGGCACCCAGGTGAAGCAGGCTAACCAGCGAGAGGACAGTTCCGAAGGCCCTACGCACTCACCGTCCACCGACAGTTCCAGAGGCGCGCTGCGCGCCGAGCCCGCAAAGGGCGGCGCGGGGTCCACGTAGACGCAGCTGTAGTTGCCGGAATCCAGAACAGACACGTCGCGCAGCTCGAAGACGGCCACGGAGCCCTCGGGGCTTAGAAGGTCTTGTACCCGGTGTCCTTGAGCGTCACTGCGCTCCAGGGCGAAGCGCAGGCCGGATCGGGGCGCCTGGCACCGCAGCCGCACAAGCGCCCCGCGCGTGGGATTGGCGCTCGGCTCGGCCTGCAGCTTCGGCGCCGGCAGCGTCCCTGAGAGGAGGTGGCGGGCTGGTGAGGGACTCACGCTTCCCCCATCACTGCAGAGCCGGTGGCCTCCTCTGTGAGCCCCCCCAGGTGTACTTACTCTGCTGAAAACCGCCCCGCCCCCACCACCTGGCCTCCACACACACACTCACAACACACAGACACACACACACTGTTCCTTCTTAGTCTATAGAAACACGAGGCTAGGCTCCTGACACAGGTAGTTCAGTCTTGGCTTCACCCCAGCCGGGAACTGGCAGGTGTTGGGGTCCGGGGCTCAGTCTGCGCTCAGAGAATGGTGACTACGCTCACTCAGGGTGGAGGTCACTCACTCCCAGGACCGGCCTGACCGCTGGGGTTACTGCCTCCTCTGGACAGTCCTGCCTCAGCGCCCACCGGGTCCACCTGGAGGCGGGAACGGACCCCAGGGAGGTGGTGCCTGTGCTTGGCCCTAGCGTTAACCCGGTCCCTCGAGGATTGCTGTGGTCATCACCCCATTCTCAGATGGGAAACTGAGGCTCAGCTGGTGAGTCAGGATTGATCCCAGAGCCACACGCTCGGGCGGCACCCAGTGCCGTCTCTTCCTCCACACACCGTCCACCCCCCAGGACGGAACGTCCAGGTCTCTAAGCTCGCCTGGCCCCCAAGTCCTCCCAGTTTACCGTCACTCAGCAGTAACTCCACAGGAACGCTATCTTTGGACCAGGTTCTGTGTTCGTCCTGCATCCGATAGCGGCAGGTGTAGAGGCCGCTGTCTGTTGGGGTCAGACTGCCCATATTGAAGTTGATTGTACCCGGATTGCTGGAGTACATGTCTACCCGCAGCTCCACCTCTCCCCGCCGCAGCTGGAATTCTACAGGGATCACGGGCGCCACGCAGAAGCAGACGCTGTGGTCCCCGGGGAGCTGGACAGCCGCTGCCCTTTCCTTGACGCTCAGAGCAGGTGGGGGCGGGGCCTCTGCAAGGCAAGGAGGGTCTTGTGGGAATGGCCCCGCCCCCTCCAGGAAATCCCCGTCTGCCCAGCGTGTGGCGCTGTAGGATAAAGTACTGGATTACAAGGTTGGTTTGAACCACAAGGTCAGCGAGTCAAACTCACCAGTGGCTATGAGTCGGAACTGATTAGATAGCAACAATCAAGCTCTTCCATACCTTACCCTCCCCAAAGCCCCCCAGGAACACCGTCCTCGTGGTCCTGTACAACTATCAAGACCAGGAACCCGAATGGCCGGCGTTTCTCGGGCTCCATCCTGGGCGAGAGGGATATTGAAGGTGGAGGGCAGCGAGCACTCACCGAGCTCTTCAACACTCACAGCGGTGCTGGACTCGGAGGGCTTGCCGGTATCGTGCAACCTGTAGCTGCAGCTATAGTTGCCAGCTTGATGGACCAAAAAAGTGGCCTCCACGTCCTTCGGGGCCTCAGACACCTCCAGAAACTCATCATCGCCTTCCCGTCTCAGGAGGAAGGTTACACCACGCAGCACCCCACGGCACACCAAAGTTGTGCTCAGACCGGGTGTGATCCAGGACACTGGTTTAGCTGAGAGGGAGGGTGGGGCCAGGGACTCTGCAGAACAGGGTCAGAATAGGGGAAGGTGAGTGGTCTTGTGAAGGAAATTAGGGCGATGAGGGTATTCGTGAGGAAAAAGGAGGGAGGCAGAAGTAGACAGAGAAGAGCATAGGGCAGACATACCTCAATTTACAGCTTTGCTTTATTGAACACCACAAACACTGTGTTTTACAAATGGAAGGTTTGTGGTAACTTTACATCAAGCAAGTCTGTTGAGCACCGTTTTTCTAGACACTTTGTGTCTCTATCACATTTTGGTATTTCTCACATTTCAAATTTCTCATCATGCTGTTGCACACTTAGTGTACACATAACTTGTTTATGCACTGGGAAACCTAAAAATTCATGACTCACTTTATTACAATGTTTGTTTTATTGCGGTGGTCTGGCGCTGAACTTGCAATAATATAGCCAAGGTATGTTTGAAGAAGTAAGGCACAGGTCTCCTTAGAAACCAGGATGGCAAAACTTCGTCTCTCAGACTTTGGACATATTATCAGGAGGGACCAGTCCCTGGAGAAGGACATTACACTTGCTAAGTTGGAGGATTAGTGAAAAAGGAAGACCCCCAACGAGATGGACTGGCACAGTGGAAGCGGCAGTGAGCTGAAGCTAAACAATCAGGATGGTGTAGGAGCCGACAGATTTCCTTCTGTGGTGCATAGGGTTGCTATGAGTCAGAGACAACTCGACAGAACCTAACAACATCAACAATGCCTTTATACGGCCGTAGGGTAGATCAGGCTGCCTTACTTAAGACTTTCCTGGGGCTTTATTCATTTGTTTCTCACAACATTTAGGGTCCATAGGAATATCATATCATTGGGTGGTAGTGGTTATGTGCAGTAGAGTCGATTCCAACTCATAGCAACCCTGAACAGGGTTTCCGAGGCTGTAAATCTTTACGGGAGCAGAAAGCCTCATCTTTCTCCCGCAGAGCAGCTGGTAGTTTCAAACTGATGACCTTGTGGCTCACAGCCCGATTTGTAACCACAGGTTGGGAAAACAAGGTTCAAAAACATCAAGGACTCAGCCAGGACACGCAGCCCCTCAGGAAGGTGGGTCAACGGCCAGGATGGAGGGTGAGGACTAGGGAAGAGCTGCCCCCAATAGCCTCTTCCCCATGGACTCTTCATAGTGTCCCTGCTCACCTGTGCCAGACACCTCCACCAGGTTGCTCAACTGTGTCCACCTGTTATCTATGCCTGTCCGGCAGCGGTAGATTCCACGGGTTTCACTGGTCACTGCTCCCAGAACAAACCGGTGTTCCAAAGCAAGTAGGTTCACGGGCTCGAGTGCTACTCCGTCCTTGAACAGCTGGAAGCCCAGGCTGCCTTCATAGGCCCGGCACGTTAGTGTCACATTGGCCCAGGGGTCCAGCAGTGACTCGACCTCCACCCATAGGCTTGGCGTTGTGTCAATATCTGCACAGGGAGACCACGGTCATCACGATGAAGCCAGGACTAGGGGCTTATCTACTGCATATGTCTCACCTCCCAGAGCTCCCAACCCTGATACTCACACGTAGCTGCCCTAGTGGCTGGGACCAAGGCAAGGCCTGTGGGAACAATACCTTTGAGAACTCCATTCCTGCCCTTCCCACCCCACCCCCACCCCCAGGGCCCTGGCTTAGGTGCTCCTCACCCCAAATCAGCAGGGTGACCACCAAGGCAGACATGGTGGTCAGTCTTCCTCTGTCCAGTGGCCCAGTGCGTATCTGGAGTGAGTGTCCGAGGTGATAAGGCTAAGCTGGTTGTCAGAGGTGGGGTTGTGGGGCGCTGACCTCCTCCTGTTTGTTTTTACTTTCAGGAAGGCGAGGGCGGTAGCCGGCATGGGGGAGGGCAAAGGGTGTCCCTAGGGAGACCAAGCAGAGCCTCAGGATTTCAGTCATGACAATAATGAATGTTCAGTTGTGTACTGTCTTATCTAGTGTTGCTGTGACAAAACCATCACAAGTGAGTGGCTGTAACAGATATTTATTCTCTCCTAGTTTAGGAGCTAGAAGTCAGAATTGAGGCCACAGTTTCTGGTAGAAGACTTCCTCCCTGCTGGCTCTAGGGAAAAGTCCTTGGCTCAGCGTTCCTTGGAGATCTCCCCGTATCTTAGCATCAGTCCTCTCCTGAGTCCGGCAGTTTCAAAGGATGCACTGTGCGTCTGGCTTTTCGTTCTTGATGATAATGAGGTCTGTTTTCTCTGCTTATGTCTCTATCCTTTTGTCTCTTGTAATATTAATGGTGTGACTCAAGCAAAGGTCATGCATCCCACCCTAATCCTGAACCAACATAACCTAATTCTCATTAACATATAACCTAATCCTGTCTCATGAACATAACAGAAAACTCACTCCCAAATGGTATCATCACCACAAGCATACATAGAGGCTGTTGTTGTGAAGTGCCGTCGAGTTGGTTCCGACCCATAGCGACCCTGTATAGGGTTTCCAAGGAGCAACTGGTGGGTTTGAAGTGCCACTTTGCGATTGAAATCGACCTTACAGTCCAACGCTCATCCTACAGCATCACACCAGGACTCCACGGACACTAGGGGCCTCAAAGTGAAGAACCACCACACACTCTTGGGAATCCTGTCCTAACAAACTTGACACTATTTTGTGGGGACACCATTCAATCCATGACCTGTGCCATTGAATGACAGAGCTGCCCCATAGGATTTCTCGGCAGATCCCCAGGTCTTTGTCCTGCGAGGATCCTAGGTGGGTCCTACCCAACAACCTTTAGTGGCTGAGTGGTTAACAATGATACCACCAGGGTTCCTTTGGAAGTGTGCAGTCCAGGATAATCTCCCCATCTCAAGGTCCCCAACGTATCAAGGTGGGCAGGGAGATAATAAAGATGACTATTGCGATGGGACTCATGGTGTGGCGCTGTGGGCTAAGGCGTCAGACTGCAGAGTTGTGTGAACTGCAAGGTCGGTGGTTCAAGCTCACCAAGTGCTCCTCGGAAACCCTATACAGGGTCACTATGGGTCAGAACCGACGGCACTTAATAACAACAACTGCAGTACGCTGGGTGGTTTGTGATGATAATGGGGCCAAACCACGGGCAAGTCAGCAAGGTGAGATCATCAAAGGCATTGAATGATCCCCAAAACCAAGACCCTCTTGGTCCCAGAGGCCCTCCCAGCTGGGCTGGTCTGTCTGGTTACTAAATTCAGTCTGGGTATCCCACATGGTGCCAACTGACCCGTGGTGGTGAGAAAACCCCAAAGAAGGCCCCGTGGGCAGATTCCTCAACTCAGACCCTGAGTTAGGTGTTACCTTTTTTTATTTTTAACTTTTTATTGAGAATTGAGTGAAGGTTTATAGTCTGTAATCTTTTTTCCCCCCAGAGCAGCTGGTAGTTTCAAACCACCGACCTTTCAGTTAGGAGCTGAGAGCTTAACCACTCACTGCACCATGAAGGATTCCTGCTAAGATGAGATGTATAGCAACCTCCCTATTTGCAAGACTCCTGCCTCCCTGTCTTCATTCATTCATTCCACTAGTGTTTATTGATCATTACTATGCACCTGAAGGAGCTCTGGTAGCGTAGTGGTTACAAATTGGGCTGCGAACCACAAGGTCATCAGTTCAAAACTACCAGCGGTTCCGTGAGAGAAAGATGAGGCTTTCTGCTCCCGTAAAGATTTACACCCTCGGAAACCCTGTACAGGGTCGCTATGGGTCGGACCCGACTCAACGGCACTTAACAACAACAACAACAGAGGTGTTTTTGTTTTATACTGCAGCAGCAGATTTTCCCAATACAATAAGATTCCTTGACTGCTGCATCCGTGGGTGTTGATATAATGGGATCACACTCCATAAAGTGATCTAGTGTGAAATCAGTTGAAAGGGAAGTTTCCCTGGAGTGTGTTGTCTGCCTCTCGTAAATCAATGGATGTTCTGACAGAGCTCATTTTCTCTGGACCCTGCAGTCTTCTTGTTGTCTGAACTCTAGTTCCTGGCTGAACCTCAGGCAGATGGCTGAGGGAGTGCCCAAGTAGGCCAGGCCAAGGTCAGCCAGTGATCTGAAGAGATGGTTCTGGCAACCAGCAAATGGAGGGCAGACAGTTTCTTGCAGGACTGCCTGCTCCAGCCTTGCTGCATCCTCCTCTTAGCTGGCGGGTTCCTAAGCCCCTGCTCTTCCTTTGACGGCCTCAGCCCTATGGGAAGCCACAGTTTCCAGCAAGCATTTGTCTCTGAGTCTCTGAAACGTCTCACTTTTGCTCACCGAGCTTTCCAAATCCTGCACAACTACGTTCCTGAGTTAAATCCCCTTCTGTTTGAAATACCTTGTGTGGTTTTCATTCATCCTCTAACTGACAGTACTTAGTATCAAGAGGGGTCTCAAATACGGATCCTGAGAGGGTGGGAGAAACGTGTGGACTAGATCTTGTCATGGATTTAATGGTTCCAAAAGAACATGTGTCAACTTGGCTAGTCCATGGTTCCAAGTAGACCCTCATGGTCGTAACGGAGTAATCAGCCTCCATTTGTGTAAATCCTGACCTCTGGGGGTTAATGTAGGGCCCCTGGTGGCACCATGGGTTAGGTTTGGGGAGCTAACCACAAGTTAGCAGGTCAAGCCCACCACCTTCTCGGGAGAAAGACAAGGCGATCCGCTCCTGTAAAGATTCAGTCTCAGAAACTCTATCTAGTGTTGGTCTCGGTCAGAGGCCCCAGACGTGTCTGTTTGTCGTACTGTGGTGGCCTGCATGTTGCTGTCATGTTAGAAGCTGCACCACTGGTGTTTCAAATACCAGCAGGGTGACCCCCAGTGGAGTGTCCCACCTAAGAGAGACGAGGAAGAAGGAATAGCTGGCCCACTTCTGAGGATTTGTGCCTGAAAACCTTAGTAAGATCAGCAAAACATTGTCTTATACAGTACCTGAAGATGAGCCTCCTTAGGTTGGAAGGTACAACTGAGGCAGTTGTTAAGTGTTGTCAAGTCGGTTTCGACTCATCGTGACCCTGTATAGGGTTTCCAAAGAGCGGCTGGTGGGCTTGAACCACCGGCCTTACTGTCCAGTGCTTATCCTACAGCGCCACAGATAACTCTTTAGAGTCAACGTCAGTGACATGAGTGAGCAAAGCTTTCAGCACCTTCAATTGCTGATGGGGCACAACTCAAAAGGAGAAGAGACAGCTGCAAACATCCATTGATAATCAGAACACAGAATGTATGGAAGTATGAATCGAGAAAAATTGGAAGTTGTCATAAATAAAATGGAACATACAAAGATCTGTATCATAGGTGTTGTTGTTGTTAAGAGCTACAGAGTCTGTTCCGACTCATAGTGATCCTGTATAGGATTTCTGAGGAGCAGTTAATGGGCTTGAACCTCTAACCTTGTGGTTAGCAGTCCAGTGCTTATCCTACAGCACCATCCCAGGCATTACTGGCCTGAAATGGACAGGTATTGGCCATTTTGAGTCAGACAATCATGTGGTTTACTATACCAGGAATGATACATTGAAGAAGAATGATGTCTCATTCATTGTCCAAAACAACATTTCAAGATCTATTGTGAAATACGATGCTGTCTGTGATAGGATAATATCTGTATGTCTACAAGGAAGACCAGTTAATATGACTGCTGTTCAAATTTATGTACCAACCACCAAAGCCAGTGATGAAGAAATCTACCAACTTTTTCACTCTGAAATTCATCACAAAAGCAATCAAGGTGTATTTCTAATTACTGGCAGTTAATATGCACAAGTTGGAAACAATGAGGATCAGTAGTTGGAAAATACGGTCTTGGTGATAGAAACAACACTGAAGATCGCATGATAGAAACAACACTGAAGATCGCATGATAGAAACAACACTGGAGATCGCATAATAGAAACAACACTGGAGATCGCATGATAGAAACAACACTGAAGATCGCATGATAGAATTTTGCAAGATCAGTGGATTATTCACTCACTGTAAATATTATTTTTCAACAACATCAATGGCAACTATATGGGTGGACCTTGCCAGATGGAATCCTCAAGAATCAAATTGACAACATCTGTGGGAGGAAATGGTGGAGAAGTGGATTAGCCTCAGCCAGATCAAGGCCAGGAGGCAACTGTGGATCAGACCATCAGTTACTCAGGCAAATTCAAGCTGAAGCTGAAAAAAATAAAACAAGTCCATGAGAGCCAAAATAGAACCTTGAGTATATCCCTCCTGAATATAAGACCATCTCATGAACAGTTTTAACAAACTGAATCCTAATGACAGAAGACCAGAGTAGTTGTGGGATGACATCAAGAACATCATATATGGAGAAAGCAAAAAGTCATTTAAAAGTCAGGAAAGAAAAACAAAGAACAAAATGGATGTCAGAAGAAACACTGAAACTTGCTCGTGAACGTAGAGTAGCTAAAACCAATGGAAGAAATGATGGCCTAAAAGAACTAAACAGAAAATTTCAAAGGGCAGCTCGAGAAGACGAAGTTAAGTATTATAATGAAATGGGCTAAATCCTGGATCTAGAAAACCAAAAGGGGAGAACATATTCAGCATTTCAAAGTAGAAAGAACTTAAAAATGAAAAAATTCAAGCCTCAATTTGAAATATTGAAGGATTTCACGGGCACCACCATCATCACCATCACTACCACCAGCCACCCTAACCCTAATGCCCACATCACCCCCACCCTAACCCTAATGCCCACACCACCACCCACCCACCCTAACCCTAATGCCCACATCACCCCCACCCTAACCCTAATGCCCACACCACCACCCACCCACCCTAACCCTAATGCCCACATCACCCCCCCCAACCCTAATGCCCATACCACCCCCACCCTAACTAATCAAATGGACTCTCTGCCTCACTGTCTTGGGGAGAATGGAGGCAGGGCAGGGTGGGTGGGAGCAACTGAGAGCTGACAAGGGTGAGATCACCCCCAAACTTCTACTGTAGGCCTTCTGGTGTTCCCTAAGCAAAACCTCTGTCCTTCCCATTCAAGGCTGGAGACAGAATGTCCTTGCACAAATTGAAAGGTGTAGGGAGGGCGCAGGGAGGGGACTCCCCCAGCTCTCCCTCCAGGAACCTGAATGGATCTCAATCTTTGCACCATGCCAGCGGCAGGCCCAGTTCCTGCCTCCCCTTTCTGTGGGTCATCCACTCCCAGGACAGACATTTGCTGAGAACCATCTCCCTCAGGTCCTGAGGCTCACAAGTGGGGCTGTTTGTCCAGTTATGAGGGTTTGCACTGCCTCACCACCTACAGCACCACGTTCCCAGCACAGCGTGCAGCCCAGGAGGAACCCCGAAGCCCTACAAGTTGCCCCAACCTCTGGCTCAGGGCCAATAGCATCACGAGGCAGGTGTAGGTGTAAACACCACCAAGTGACACTGTTAGAGGAGGTGGCACCAAAATGACTGCCCATAAAGTTTTTGTGCCATATTTCAGCAGGAATTTATTACTTTTTATAAAAATATTCCTGTAGTTAGTTACAACAGCAAAAACATTTTTCATAAACCCAGTTTACCTGTGTCTATAGACCTGCAGACTCTGTGCTAACTTACTTTTGAACCTTCTAGTACCCTTGGGTCAGAGCTGTCATTAAATGGCACATCTAATCCATCTGCAACACTACAAACATAGCTGCTGTTTTCCTTGATGCCCGCGTTTTTAGAGTCGCTGATTTTGTCCAAATTTCTGGGGTTTTAGCTAGTCCTGGTGGGCGCTGTTAGCTAATGCCTCAGACTGCAAAGCTGTTTGAACGGCAAGGTCAGTGGTTCAAGCTCACCAGCTGCTCCTTGGAAACCCTAAACAGGGTGGCCATGGGTCGGAACATTGCACTTAACAACAACAACATTGTAGTCAGTAGTATTGTGTCAATATCCTGTTTTGAGAATCAAGTGGTAATTAAAGGAAGCCCACCAACACTGGGTCCATTCCATCTCACAGGGCCGCAGCAGGACAGTGTAGGACTGCTCCCTAGGGTTTCTGAGACTCTATCTTTAAGGGAGCACACAGCCTCATCTCCCAGCTCCCAGCACAGCACAGACAGGCTGCTGGATTTGAACTGTAGGGTTGGCATTCCAGTGCTTAATTAACCCACTACCAGGGCTCCTTAATGAAAGGAAACTGAGAAAAGTAAAAAACAACTTCCACTCAGTTATGTAATTTTGTAATTGTTGTTGTGAAGTGCCGTCGAGTCGATTCTGACCCATAGCGACCCTGTATAGGGTTTCCAAGGAGTGACTAGTGAGCTTGAACCGCCAGTCTTGCGATTCAAATGACTTTGCAGTTATTTAATAATGCTGCAATTCAATGTAGAAGGATTTTACAAAACATTTGTCCTTCATATTCATGTTATCTAAGAAATTCCACATCTAAGCAATTACAACTATATTGATCATATTATTCTATGATTAAAATTTGTAATAAACATTACTAAGGATCGCTAGGGAGTCCTGGTGTGGCGCTGTAGGATTAGCACTGGACTGCTAACCTCAAGGTCGGCAGTTCAAACCCACCAGCTACTCCCCAGAAATCCTAGGGTCGCTGTGAGTCGGAACCGACTCCATGGCACCTAACAATAACAAGGATCAATATGATCTGGTACTGGAGAGGATCCAGGGAGTTGGGGGGGGGGGGAGACATGATTGTCACTAGCCCTAGTGACGCCAATGCAAGTACCCTGTAGAGTCTGGGCTCGCAGGGCCGGTTGAGGTTGGAATCGTGCCTTAAGGGTTTTGTCCGCACGCTTAGGGCCGCTCGCCCGTGTGCAGTGCGCGTGCGCCGGCGGCTCACTAGCTCCGAGTTGCACCCGAAGGCTTTGCCACAGTCGCAGCAGATGAAGGGCTTCTACCCAGAGTGCAGGCGTTGGTGCAGAGCTCTGAGCTGCCGCGTTAGGTCTGGCTGCACTCGGAGCAAGCAAAGGGCCGCTGTGGGTGCGCCGCCGGTGCTGGGCCTTGCCCGAGTCGGCGCAGACCAAAGGCTTGGCGCCCGACTGGACGCACTGGTGCTGAGCAGGTTGGAGCGCTGGCTGAAGGCCCTGCCACTCTGGGCGCCAACGTGAGGCTTCTCGCCGGTGAGCACGCGCTGGTGCTCGGCCAGGTTGGCGCCAGGGATGAAGGCCTGGCCGCACTCGGTGCAGACGAAGAGCCGCTCGCCGCTGTGTGTGCGCTGGTGGATGGATGAGCTGCGAGCGTGTGCGGAAGGTCTCTGACTGACTCCCCGCTGTGAATGCGCTGGTGCTGGCTGAGGTTGGGGCTCCAGGCGAAGGCCTTGCCACCCTCGGCGCCCCTGTGCAGGCGGTAGGAGCTCGGGATGAACACCTTGCCACACTGCAGCCCAGCTCCCCAGCAACCAGAGATGGGGGACTCGGATCTGGGGCTTTGTCCCCACCCCCACCCTCCACCTCCCACCCCCCAGGGATCTGGCCTGGGAAGCTTCCTTGGGCTCCGGCTCCCATCGAGGCTCCCCGTGGTCTACTCTGGCGCACACACCCACAGATGACAGCCTAGGAAACCCTATAGGGCAGTTCTCTTTCAAGTCAACTGAACCTGAACATGAGTACAATAATAGACCAGGGGCCAGCCAAAGAAGCCAATCTTGTCTCCACCCTAGTACAGGGAAGCCTGGGATTGGGCTTCAAACGTTAGCCCTGTCTGTGATTCTAGAAGCCAGGAGAACTCTGGAGGCTGCTCACAGCTGTTCATGAGGAGGGCTGCTGGGGACCAGGTTGTGGGTGGGACAGGATTCTGGAAAAGTTCAAAAGTGCCCTCTGCCCACCTGACCTGCACTAGCCTGCCTCGGGCCTCATCCTGCACACCAAGCAGCTCCGGACCCTCACTCCCATCTTCTGACAGTGCTGAGCACCAGAGGGGTAGAGGCGCCTATGTGGGGAAGGCAAGCCCAGATGTGACCCCAGTCAGAAGCCTACAAGTGACCACCCAACCCACATGATGTCCCCAGAGTCAGTAACGTTGCCCCCCAGTCAGCATGTGGGAGCTCTTCAGACCTACTCAGTCTATAGCAAAGCAGGTGCCCACAGCACAAAGCCATGAGCCCGGATCCCAGGGAACACGGTCACCCCCCGGCTGTGAGCAGGCTGGCAGATGTGTATCACACCTGAAAGGGAGGCCGGGAGGGCGTCTGAGGGAGTCTCCTGTCCCTCTCCCGCCTCTGTCTTGTGTGCTAGCCTCCTCACTGGGACTAGGGGCTGAGACCTGGGGACAAGAAGGCAGGCAGGGCAGGGTGAGGAAATGTGGGGTCATCTGTGGAGTGGTCCATTCTTCTCAGTACCCCCGCCCACATGTAGATATGGACTGGAGGACTATCTGGCTCTAGGATTCGAACTTGGAACAGCGCTGAGGCCACGTTCCTTTCCCAGAGTCCCCATCACCACCATGTCGGCCCAGAGCCAGGCTCAGCTCCAGGCTCCAGGCTCTGAAGAAAGTAGCACAGATTCCGGCTCAGTCCCTGCTCACCTGGACTACCGAGGCCCACCTTAGCCCCTTAATGAGGGCTGCAGCCTCCTCAGGGCTGCTGGACTGCTGCTCCCACATGTGGACCTGATCTCAGGGGCTGGGAGGGCAATGCATCCAGAAACGGCTCCAGCCCTAGTAAGCTCCAGCATCTGCTCCTTGGAGTGAGCCTTAGCCTCAGCCACAACTGACATCAAAGAACACACAGCCAGGTCAGGGCCTCGTGGGCCCCGCTGCCTCTTGGTATCCGAAATGCCAATGCCGGAAACGCTGCCTAGGGACCCCTGGGGCGGGTTCATCTGTCATCAGTGTGCGCAGGACCTGCGTAACCCAGGAGCCAGGACCAACGCCTCGCTCTACTTAGAACCATCATACCCTTTCCTGCGAAGGACCAAGTAGTCACATGGCCGAGGACACTCCCTCTGGACCTGGAAACACAGAGGTGGGGCTGTGAGCACAGCTGAGGTCCTTCTGAGATTGGGTGGCATCTGCAGGTCTGTGACTTCGTGTGCATCAGTGAGTCAGGTTAACAGTGTTTGCAGTCAGCCCCTGAACGTCAGCATCATTGCCCACCTGTGTGTGGATGTGTCTTGGTGACACACTGAAGTATGTCATCTCCCAAAGGTCCCCTCTCCTTTCTGTTTCTTGAGGGCCCCTGCTCTGGCTCCCTTGTCTCCTTTCCTCCACTCTTCTATGCCCACAGAACAGACTTGTTAGGTAAACCTACTGAGGATGATGACGCAGCCCATCAGGGTGGGGTTTGGGGAACACAGGAGTGCCTCCCTGTTCCAGGTTCCTCTATATTGAAGCTCCAAACATCCATCCTTGTGGTTCGGTGTTGCCTGCTCACAGGACACAGTGAGTCTGGTTGGCAGTGGCGGTGAAATGGCATTGGGACCAGAAAATTCATTTGATTCACTTTATAGCAATGGTCTGGAACCAAGCCCATAATTACCTCCAAAGTATGCCTGTACTGAAAACCGATGAAGCATACACTTTTAAAGGGTGAAGGTTATGGTCTGTAAACTGTATCTAATACCTTTTTAAAAGTCATTAGAGTTCAGTAGAAACCCAGACTGTGTCTTCTCTTAAAGAATAGGAAGACCTGTCCACCGGAGCTCCTGCCTTCTCAGATGCAGCCCAGCCTGGGATCTGGCCCCATCCTGAAGTGAGCAGAAAACCCTTAGGCCAGTATTCTTCTTTCTGTGACCCCCTACTTGCTACCGACCCATCGCAAAACCCTTCTGCAAAGAATAACTGCAGGGTCCCTCCAGTTTGAACCAGATCTGATAGCATGCGCAGACCATAACCAATGTGTTCCAGCTGACCCAGGACCCACTTTAGAATTGAGGGGTAAACCTAGAGAAGATCAGGGAGAACATGACTCCACACAGGACTTCCTTTTATGGACAGAGGTTAGTTAGGAGGCAGGGAGGGACAGGAAGAAGTCACAATCCTGGAAGACTAAGGTAATAAACACCCAGGTGCCCCCAATTTGAGGAACCCTGTAAAATTTTGGTCACAAGACCCTGAGTTGCTCCTTGTCTGCGAAGACAATAAAATCTGTTTCTCTGTACACCAAGGTCCACTTTATTTCAATTGGATAATAGAGCAGGACACAGACCTGAAGGTTGAATGACAACAGAAATTGTCCCCCTGACGATCCTTACCACTTCCCTTCTCAACTCTAGCGCCCTTGTGTATCTGTATTCACCCTGGGTGCCCTTTCTCTGCCTGAAGGCCTCATTCTCCAGCTTTCGCCCCTGAACACTTATTCTCCATGTGATGCTCCAATCACAGGTCAGAGGTCACGTCCCTGGTTAAACCCATCTCCCAGGCCCCAGCAACACGGCCCTGCTCTCCTCTGCTGGGTCGGGAGTGATTGTATCTTTCCCAATACCTCCCTCCTCCGCACCCCCCCTCCCGCACAGGGCCTGGGCTCTCCTCTACTTGGAAGCTGGACTAGCAAACAAAATAATCAATAAAAGGACAAATACAGGTTGGGTAAAAGAAAGGGACACCGGTCAAAGGGTATCCAGTGGGGGATGTGATGACTCAGTAAGAGGCAAAGTCAGTGCTGGGCCATGGGGGATGGAGTGCACCGGACAGAAGAGGGACGAGCTGGGTGTTCCTGGCGTAGGAGACGGCATATACAAAGGCTCGAAGGCCCAGCCTGATGGACCCAAAAGTGGCGAGAGATTCGGTGGTCAGATTGAGTTAATGAATGGCTGGGCGAAGGCCTAGAGCACCATGCGCGGGATCCGCGCGCGGGAGGAGTAACGCAGGTCTGAGTGAATGAATGAGCAGACGGAAGGGGCAGTACAGAAGTGAACGACTGAGGAGCTCACGAAGGAGCGAGCTGCGGGAGATGAGATGATCGGTAGCCGCGCAGGGAGCACGGTATTGAGGGAGCGCAGGACCACGGTCACTCGGGGCACAGCGCTTCCGCCCCGACAGTGGCCACTTCCGGGACTCTCTGGCAGGGCGGAGGCCTCACTCTCGATGATCCCGTAGTTCCGCTCCTGGATCCTCGCCCTGTACCGCGCAGCGAAGACTAGTGGCAAGACCGCGGGCGTGGGTCTGAGCCTGGATGGACAGCAGCTGTCCTTCCAATTAACCGCATCGGGCCCAGCAAGGGCAGCCCCCGGGACAGCGGAATTGTAGAGGCGAGCTGTGAGGTGGTTGTAGGGCCTCCTAGGGGGACGCAGTCTCCTTAGGGTGGCGGGCGGCAGGTGGGTCGAGGGTTTCTCCACTACGCCTGCGCAATCGCGGGCGCGCCTCCTTCGGTTCCTATGGGGACTGCCAACGCTCCAGCAGCCTGAGTCCCGCCCTTTTACTCAGACCCGTCCCTGCTCCTTAGTTACACACTGTACTTGAATGAACCGTGAGACTATGAAAGAGGTAGGACCTGAACTCACAAACATGAGTTGGCCCATTGCCTTCCAATGCAGGGACAGGCTGCCCAGGTAAAGGTGGCTTAAGGGAGGAGCCACTTGGGTTCTCCTTGCTCCCGCAGGGCTGCCAGGATCTCAGACACAGGAGGAGCTCTTCTCGGGTCTAGGCCAGCCTCTGTTTCTCACCCTCATCCGTTCAACAGGAACCAACATCCAACGTCCATGTTGTTGTTGTTAGGTGTGTCGAGTGGGTTTTGATTTATTGCACAACAGAAGGAAACACTGCTTGGTCTGACGCCATCCTCATCTGAGCCCATTGCTGCTCCCACCGTGCCAATCCATCTCGTTGAGGGTCTTCCTCTTTTTCGCTGACCCCTCCACTTTACCAATCATAATGTCCTTCTCCAGGAACTGGTCCCTCCTGACAACATGTCGCAAGTATGAGAGATGAAGTCTCACCATCTTGGTTTTTAAGGAACATTCTGGCTGTACTCTCCCAACATAAATTTGTTTGTTCTTCTGGGAGTCCATGATAATTTCAATACTCTTCCAACACTATAACTCAATGAATCACTTCTTCTATGGTCTTCCTTATTAATTGGAATATCCAACATCCACTGACCTAATCAATTACCGTCTCCAGCTCGCATTTCACACACCCATGTGCTGGATCAACATTTCATGTAGGGGAACAATATGTCCAAGCCAGAATACTTGTATTTCCCCCCACTATCAAATGTGGTGCTGCAGAACAACGCACTGGACTGAAAGGTTGGTTTGAACCCCAAGGTCAGCGGTTCAAGCCCACCAGCTGTTCCTCAGAAACCATAGACAGGGTTGCTATGCATTGGAACCGATTCAATGGCACTTAACAACAACAACATCAAGTGTTGTCAATAACCTCTAGGGAACCGTCCACTCTTCAGATAGTTTGGGCAGGGGTGGGCATGTGACCTAATCATAGATCTAAACAGGGATTCCATGCCCCTGGCCATTATAGAAAGAGCCTCTGCTGGCATAGTGATTAAGTGCCCCGCTGCTAACCAGAAGGGTGGCACTTGGAGCCTAATGCCCACTCCGATGTAGATGTGAAGAGCACAGGCTTGGGAAGCCTATGAGACCATTCCACTCTGTTCTCTAGAGGCTCTACAAGTCAGAATTGGCTCAAAGAAAACAGCTTTGTTTGGACCATCATAATTGTCCTTGGGTTGGCATGTGACCCAACTTGTAACTCCTAATAGCAAAAGTCCTTGCTCTGAGTCTCAGGCCAATTCCCAGATATCAGGGTTACTTTTTTTCATTCTCAAGATCATTAAATTCCCTTTGTGCTTAATCCAACCTGGGAGTGGTTTTCTGCCACTTGCTACCAAGGTATCACATGCTGTGTGACTCCTAAAAAGGGCTCTTCTTGAATCGAGGAGCTTGGTTTCACATCCACAGAGGTGGGGCTATTTCCCTTGACCCACAGAGCAGAGCTCTTGAGGATCAGTATTAATGACTCCTACTCCTCTTTCGTTTCCTACACAGTAGCAAGACTGACATCAGCTGACAAGGTGGCCAACTAACTGTCTCTTCACACACTCAGGTTGGCAGGAATCTTGAGTAGCTGAAAAATGTGTTGATCATGTCTTTAGCAATAGCCTGTTTGTCTTTCACTGCTTTGAATATATCTATCTTTTGCTTTGTTCTGAGTTACCTCAAAACTTAGTGGCTTAAAACAATGTATAAATGTTTTCTCACTTTTTGTGGGTCAAGGATCCAGGCAGAACTTAACTGTATCTTCTGCTTCATAGTCTCCAGTAGCAGCAACTGGCTGGCACACATGCATCTCAAGTCTTCATTGGGGCAGGACCAGCCCTCAGGCTCACATGTTGGTGACTGCTGTAGTTACTCATGGGCTGTTGGACTGAGGATCTTAGATTCTTCCAGACTGTCGGCTGGAGGCCACCCTCAATTCCCTGCCATATAGGCTTCTGCAACATAGCAACTTACTTCATCCATCTTTACAAGAAGACAATAAAGTTAGTACACTATCAAGACAAAATTCAAAAACTTTTATAATCTGCAGTGCAGTGAATTGATGGCACTTTAATATGATTCATCTAGCCATGATCTTGTAACTCCCACAACATAATTAGGTAGAACTATGCCAATAAGATGCCTGTGGCCCACCAAGGGGTTTGAACA